CACGTAATATTACGATGATGGCGACCGGCGATTGTCCGCACTAGTGCGGTTCTGCGTTATGAAATTTTTATATTATTGTTATAAATATTAAATAATTTTAAACTTAAATACATTTTAATTAGTACAAATACTTGCATCAAAGTAACACTATGGTTATTTTCTAATGAAAGTATACACTTTCATTGCAAATAGTGACAGTAATATCTATAGTGCCTTGTTTGTTCTTAGACAACCTATTAAGTATTTTTCGAATTCGCCCCATCCCTAGTACTCGTAAAATTACGTGATTGGCGATACAGATAATGGAGACGGTGACCACAATTTAATTAAACCTCAAATTTCACAGTATTTATCACTCAAAACATTGAGAAATATCCATAACAATAAAGATTATACCCTACATCTTGAAATTGACATTTTTTATATGGAGTTTGTGCTTTATAAGAAGATTTTTAATAAAATAACGTGATTGTACGTATGTGGCGATTCGGACACAGCTTTCGAAAACCGTAATATTACGTTGTCGGCGGTTAAAGGGTTAATACCAAGTCACCAACAGCAAATTATGGAACCTATAAGTTCTGATAAAGGGTGTCTTAAAAAACTTCTTAATTCTGCATCTAAGATTCTGCTTCACAAGTGTTTGTGGTGCTTGAAGAGAAAGATTATCTCTCTTGAAAAGGAAATATCAATCTAATAGGTTAAAATGTTGAGATAAAATGCTCAAATCTGAGAAAACTAATGAAAGCTGAGAATTAAAAAATCGATGAACTCTATTGTTAAACTACTTATTCTTTGATCTGAAAATCGAACTAGACTAATCTTATTGGTCAGTAGCTCTTGAAATAATATGAACAAAAATAGAAAAGAAATTAGTTAAGTACGAATAATTGATGATTTCTCCCCAGGCTTATCAGAAAGCGCTGTTGATTAGTCTTGTGTCAAATGTGTAGATCCCCCCTTAGTACATAAACTGACAAATGCATTCTGCCCTGCACCACACATCATAATTCGCTACTCAGTTATTCCTCTTACCTGGTACAGGAACGAACAATCTAATAAAATCTGTTTTGGAGCGGAAGGGATCCTTCAAAGCGGCCGTGACCCCCATACGCGTTTCATTACTGCGACCTAAAAAGATTTTGAGGTCGCGCCACTTGTAGGTACTTAGTAAGACACGTGGCGGCAGACGATGACGACATTATTGACGAACCGTGCAATTTTAGTTGCGCTGTTTTCTATCTACGTTTTATTTTTTAATTTTTATGGAAAATAAGTTTTTGCTTTGAGTAATGGAGTTTAATGAGAGTAGGAAACTACGGTTGACTGCCTCTTTGGATGAGTGGTCGCAAGTGCGACTGCCGGACAAGGGGTCTCGGGTTCGATTCCCGGGTCGGGCAAAGTATTACTGGGTTTTTAAAAAAAGAATCTTAGTAGTAGCACGGAGTCTGGAAATGTGCCCGGTATATGACAATAGGCATCACCCCCTATTACATGGGACTCATAACATAAATAGTAAAAAGTGGGTGTTACTTCTGTGTGCACCTCTGCCTGCTCCTTCGTGTTGGAGAAAGTACGGTTAAAGGAATTTGTAATGGATATAATGGTTACTATAAAATAAAGGTGTAAGTAAGTATATTGTGAACCAGTAGCTTTCTACTCATCCACAGGTACCTATAATACTCCCTTCTGGCCAGTTAAAGTCCTATTTAGATATATGCAGTAAACCTATTAACTTACTTTACGTTGATGATTCCTACTTGTACTGCATTGATGACTCCTTTATTGAGATTTCGATAACTACAAAAACCCTAGGAATACTTTACCCGAAAATTACATCCGAGTCAGGCTTCTAGTTTCGCAGTCACAGTTGCGACCACCCAACCAACGAAATAATAATAATTAAAAATGACGTTACATGGTGTAAACCCTCCGGGTTTTAAAAAGTATTATATTTTGTTATGTTTCATTACTTACAATAAATCATTAACTTAATGGACCATTAAGTAGTAATTTTTTGATGCGGGAATCGAACCAGTGACACCCAACACCGAGCACCTAACCCTTGCTGCGACAGTCAAAATGGAATCTCGAATAATATTCATAAAAATCAGTTTATCACATAATGTGAGCCCAATAGGGCTGATGCCGTCGAGGATTTAACGGGTTGCCGTGGCTCCGGCTCGAAGTGCGAGAATAGGAACGGGGACGGGGTGGTTTTTAGTCAGTAAAAGTCTGACATTGCCTCTCGCCTTACCCGGGCGGAAGAAGTAATAGGATGATTTCCCCTCTCAAAAAAAAACACATGATGTGAATATGGCAAAATAAAATAATAATTAATATTACAATGTGTTCCTTATTCCAACACGGGTGCACGGAATTATCTAAGAATAATAAGATTTTAAATAATGACCAGAAAAGTGAAGTCATTTCTATAGCTTTCTATAAGGGTTAAAGCTACAAAAATTTTCTTTTTTTCATTGGGTAATGCTGCTTAGGTAGGTTCTATAGGTTTCTGCAAGATCAGGCTGATGATCCAGGGTATAATGGGGTATAGTGACATACGACATTAAATAAAATCGCGAGTTACTCACGTGAATATACTGAGAGCTGCGCGCCCGCGCACACTGCTCATGAGGAAGAACCCCTCTGTGGTTCGAAACTAGTAGAGCTTTTCTCAGTATATTCACGTGAGTAACCAGCGATTTTAGCTAATGTAGTATGTCTCACGATAGCTATTATAAAAATAATATACCGACAAACCATTTTCAGTGGCTAATGAGAATGAGCATGACATGTAGGTAATAAATACTATAATAAAAATTGAATTCCTGATAGAAAATAAAAAATATCTTAGCCTGAGGAATATGAGAATACATACGGATTAGCAGTGTCCTATGGGTTGTATGGCAAGTGAACCAGTTCAATAGTAAGTGAGTGACTACTCCTGGAGGCTGGGGAGTTATAGAACAAGTATAGTAGGTAGATAAATATGTTTTTAGCCACACCTGATAATAAAGAGTTGGAATTTGACAAAAACATGGAGTAATAGATTTATCAGACCGATGTCAATAAAATATGTATTTTGTTTTTATAACTTTAGATATTTAATAGAAAAACGTTCCTTAGACTTAAAAACCTTGATATCACTATAAAAATGATGTATGAAGTATGTTGTAGACGTATTTAGTAAGATATATTCGATTAGGAAATGTAGATAGTCGATTATCATTTCACTGCACTAACAACTAGCACATGCCTAGTCTGTTGTCAAACAACTGTCACTGGAACTGTCATTTACGCTACTTGTCATCGCCTTTTCTTTCTTCAGTCAGTGACAGTAATTTTTTGTGCGAATTATTTCATACCTACCTTACAGTATTTCTTTTTCTGATATTCAGTGTTGCGAAGCAAATATGTTTTTTTCAGACCTAATACGTTTAAACGCGTTAAATGCTATATTGTGACTACGTAAATTTAACTTTTACTTGACGTGAATTAGTGTTGCATTAATTTGAACTCGAAACTGGTAAGTTATCGAACGATATCATGGTCATTTACATTGGAAAACGAGTTATATTCTTGTTTTGTGGGTTTTAGTAGCATCAGTTACAAGTTAAGATGTTTGCGAGTTTAAAAAGTAAGATAAAAGAAGAAACTGGTAGCGACATAAGCAAAATAACCAGTAGTTGGCGGAGCGGCGCCTTCTTGGGACGAATAACGCTCAGAGATGATTCTGTAAGTATTATTTCATTGTTTTTACCGAAATAATTAAGTATTCCTATATCGGTACTCAGCGATACCCCTATGACATCTTATCAACACAAAGACACTTCCTTTAAATTAATAAATGTGCTTGAAATTGGCGCGGCGATAAAATAATCAATTCTATTTTTGCATATTAATTAAATTTGCCGTACTTCTTATTTATATTCTATAGATATATAAACTCAAATCACTTTCAAAATGTATTTATTACACATACACCTATTAGCCTGTTAATATTAAAAATATTATAATTATATTTTTGTTTGCAGTCAACAGCCAGTCCTTCTAGTTCTGGTGGCCATGGAGACTCCACATCAGATGTAAGTAGATATGAATAAAATACTTAAATAGTTAGGCTTTATTCTAAGGGACATTTATTCATAGTAGAACTTGTGATTTCTATGAATGTTTTCAATAACATTTGGTTAATAATAGAGACTGTTTATTGTAACAACAACAGTTATTGTTATTATTAATATAATCATTCCTATTTCCTATGATTATTGAAATATCGTTGTTTACATTATTATAATGCTGTGTCCTGTTACGAGTGCAATTCGTTAATGTAAATCACAAACTGTTAATAACTCACTTTAAGTAAGTGCTTTAACATGAGAAAAGTGCCTTATATTATACTAGAATATAAAGCTAAAGAGTTTGTATGTTTAATCTCCAGGGCTACTGGAATATGAATAATTCTATTTGTGTTGTATAGTCCATCTATCAAGGAGGGCTTTAGGCTATTAAAAATTACACTATGATTAAACTGTCAAACACCAAGCGGTCACCGGTGACCGCAACCTATTGTTCTATAATTGTGTCTACAAAACCAGTACTCAACGAGTTAATAAGCGCCTAGCAAAGCCTAGAAAAGCAATTAAAACCGCGTGAGGTAGCTAGACTATTAATATGTCGACCTACGCCTTCTCTTTAACCCAATAAAAGATGTGATATTACCATATGAAGATCTAAGAATGAATTTTTCTTACAATGAATTCTATTGTTTTACAGTCAATATCTCCGCAAATGGAATCATACCTATCAGAGAGGACCGGTGGAAGGATAGACCAGGCAGTGTTACAGCAACAGTACTCAACGCAGTTGGAGGCTAAACTACGAGAGAGGGATACTTACTGGGAACAAAAGATTGAAGAACTCAAGCTTTCACTAGCATCCGTACAAGGTCAGACATTGACTAATACTTCTTTAAACTATTTCATCATGAAAAAGTAAAATGTTTGTGGTACTATTTTATAACAAACTAATTTGAGTCAACGACTTTACACAATGTTACCATTATTTTATTATTATTATTTATTCCATATCATCTGTTCCAAATATCATTCTGTTCCCTGTAGCCATTTTGACATGAATGACTAACAAACTCACATACAAACTGGAGCCTTTATAATATTAGTACGACATTTAGTGGTTTTGCCAGTTTTCTGCTGAAACAGAGATCTGATCAAGACACAAAATATTTTCTAATAGCCTTGATTCCTGTTTTATCCCATGCCAGCATTTAATCGGGATAAAAAGTATCCTATCACCTAAATCAGCCCATACCCTGCCTGTATACCATATTTCATCATAATCCATTCAGTAGTTTCAGAGTTATTGATGGACAAACATGCAAACAAAGATACTTTCACATTTATAATATTAGTGTAATAGTATCAGTCAAGAGCTTACATTAATATTAGTTAATTGCTTTTGCAGTTCATAAAATCTCTCTCTCTATGTCTCTTTGTTTATTCATTTCTTATTACCAAATAAATAAAACAAAATGGTTACTCTCAATGCATAATATACCCTTAAACAGCAATGTATGTACTTTTATGTATGTTGTTCTCTATTATTATAATAAATATAATATTCTAGGTACTTCTTGTAAACAATGTTTATGAATTAAATTAGCTGTTAATACCTTTATATATGAGAAATAAAACTGTGACCTTCACACTTCAATAGGCATTTGCATAAAATTATTTGATACTAGATTTCTATTATGACTTTCGCGAGACATACTGAATTAAACTGTCAAACACCAAGCGGTCACCGGTGGCCGCAACCTATTGTTCTATAATTGTGTCTATAATGACGGTACATGACGAGTTAATTTACTATATTTTTCGATTTACATGTTGTTTGACAAGGAACCCTACAAGTTTCAAGCCATTGTAGTGGCTCATACTCTAAAATCATTAATATTATTTTTAAATGAAACATGAAATTTTATTTATCTATTGCTATTTGTTGTTGTTCTAGTAAAGTTATTTACAACAAAAACAATCAATAAATAAATAAAAGCAAACAAATATATAATTGTAATAATTTTGTAGCGATGTATTTTTATAAATCTATAACAGCAAATATTACCTGCAGTTTGAAAATAAGTAAATAGGTAATAATTATAATAAATTATAAATTACTTTTCCTTCCTTCATTTAGTTTGGTTTAGTTGGGGCAAAGTATACCTAATTTTGCTGAATTTATTTAACCAGCTAATCTTATTTTCACCAAATGTGAAGCTCATGTTCATCGATGGGCCTATATTAGTATCGATTTGAAAAATGGGGTGTTTAATTTGTTACCACAATTCATGACTGCTGACTTGGTGTTTATTGCAAGAATTTACTAATTTAACTCTTTCAGTCACACTTTTAACTGGTTACGAATATATTTTATTCAATTTTACTGAAATGCTTAAAAACCAATGCAAAGTAATTTGAAGCATACTTCAAAAATTGAATTTCTAAGAAAAGGTTACAGTTTACAGTTTCTAGTTACAGTGACCACCAAGACTGAAAGAGTTAAATGTATTATACTAGAGTAATGGACACCTAGTTTTATAATGTTAGTCATCATAAATGAATATTCCTTTCTTTGAATAGAAGATGCCAATTGCCATAATCATTTCACTTGGCAAAGATTTCCTTGCTCACAGATTGCAGCTAATCACATTATATCACCGAAAATATTTATTTTTATTTATTGATACATTTGGAAAACCAACAGCTATACAATTTGATTAAATAGAATGTGGTATGCAACATAAAGCCAAGTACTGGTTTTCACGATTAGTTACAGAGAGTAGAAACATGCCAACAAAATACTAAAACTACTTATTAAACCACAGGCAATCTATAATGATGCACAAATTACTCCAAATATTAAGGACCGTATAGGTACCCACTATGAATTAAAGAAATCAAGGTTCAGCTGCCTGCGCGCCACAGTATATATAAATGATAATACCAGTCCCTCATTGACTGTAGTTTTAGTACAAACACAGGTTTATTTGCTAATAAATTGACAAATTGCAGGTGAAGAAGCAGCGGCGGCTCAAGCAGTGGCTCGGACTGCACAAGCTGAGGCTGCCAAGGCGGTGTTAGAGAGAGACGCAGCCAAGAGACTGGTTACCGAGCTGAAGACGCAGGTGGCAGCTGCTGAACGCGCTCAGGATAGACTTGATGCGCTGAATGTGAGTTTTTATCGGCTGATTGTATGTCCTCTGTTGTTGCGGCTGTCTATTTGCGGCGCCAATGGCTTACCATCAGATGTGCCGGCTGCTCGCCTTACAATTTTCAATTTTATCGCCTTATACTTATTTTTGGAGCAGCAAAAACAAAATGTAACGAGGCCCTAAGTTAGTCTTGTACAATCCTTACCAATATTAATAAGTCTAAAGAATTTGCTGAATACTTTTATAATAAATCGTTCAAGCGAGGTACAAACCCGCATATCGTTAATAACCGTGTCGATAAGCAAGCAAACATAATGTGATAATTTCTTTCTTTAAAATAATATGTGAAAATTCACTATAGTGCGAAGAATATTAATAATTTTATTTAATATTTATTGAAGTTACTTATAACACAGATGACATATTTTAAGGCTTTCTTACCTACCAAGAAAATGAAATAAAACGAATAGACCATCAACATGTTTAATAAGAAAATGGTTCTAGAAAAATATAAACAAATGCTAAAGAATTAGTAAAACTAGTGCCATTAGATGTGGTAGATAAGGCACATCCTGCGGTTCCACTCGCGGCGTGCTACATGCGCCACATTCTACTTTATCTAATGCCGTTTCCTGTATTATATAGTCAGACGACAGCAACTATTCTGTTGTTATTCCAAAATATATGCAAGAAAAATATACCTACAGTTTTATTTATAACTTGACGACTCCTCGGAGCTGGCGATTTATGAGGATATTTGTGTAAAATGAGTAAATATTTACATGAACACAATATTACACCCATATATATGCCTACTTACAATGTAACATCCACTTTTCACCAGGTGTCCCATGTAGTGAACCTGTTTTCCCATATATATCACTGGGGACAATTCCAGAGTCCGAGATATTATTGAAAAATTCTCGAAGACTAACTAAAATTTGTAGCACCACTATCAATATCACTCCATAGGCAGTACCTACCTATCGCCATCAGGCCATCCGCCCACTGGCTTGCCTTCTACCTTATATAAACATTTTATTCCTTACTAGCGACCCGCCCCGGCTTCGCACGGGTGCAATATGTATATACATACAAACCTTCCTTAAGAATCACTCTATCTATTAAAAAAAACCGCATCAAAATCCGTTGCGTAGTTTTAAAGATCTAAGCATACATACGGACATACAGCGAAAGCGACTTTGTTTTATACTATGTATTGATAGAGCATCGAGCATTTCTTTCTTTATTGAACAAAGAGTTTCCTTTTTCTTGTGTAGAAGCAGTATTTTTTATAAATTGTCAGTATGCATACAAATGCACACATGCTCACAATAGCACCATGTTAAACTATAAGATTTTATTTTTATGTTTGTTTTGTTTTTTTTTATTTTAGTAAGTTTTCTAATTAGTATAATGCGTCAAGCTTGAAGAGTAACGAATGGAGTTTCTTGCTCGTTCTACTCCATTCGAATCTACATTTTGGAATGAGCCCCTAGCTTCACTGACGGACTGACAGGCAGACTATTATTTATTTTGTATTTGTTGACGTTTCAAAAGTACTAAATTATGGTTTAATTGCAATAAATGCTTTGACTTTGACTTTAACTTATAAAACATACTAAAATACAGCTCTCTATATGTAGGAGGAGTTAGAACAGAGTCGTCGTGAATGGGCCCGGGAGCGCGCGGAGCTGAGCGGCGCGCTGTCGCGGGCGGAGGCGCGCGCCGCCGACCTGGCGGACAGCCTCGCACTGCTCAGCGCTGCACTGCCGCCGGAACATCCACACCATCATATGGAAGATGACGGTATGTGTGCTTTGTTCTTGATTAAAAATTTAAAATAATATCTTCAGAACGAAGGCTTTAATCTGCGAGCAACTAACGATAGAAATCCCCCTTCCCCCAACTGCCAGCCATATACATAATACATAGCCTTTTATCCCCGAAGGGGTAGGCAAAGGTGCACATTATACTACTGTACAAAGTAACACCCACTTTTCACTATTTATGTTATGAGTCCTATGTAATAGGGGGTGAGCCTATTGCCATATACCGGGCACAATTCCAGACTCCGTGCTACTACTGAGAATATTTAAAAACCCAGTAATACGAAGAAGTCGAACCCGAGACCCCTTGCCGAGGCAGTCGCACTTACGACCACTCGGCGAACGAGGCAGTCGGCCTGCCAATCGTGGGGATTTTGGTAAACAAAACCATTAGACAAGCTTGAGCGACTTCAAAATCTTTCCATTAGGTTCATATTTGGATTGCGCAAGTATGACCACGTCTCTGAGTTCCACAACAAGCTCAAATGGCTGCCTATTCGCCTTCGCCGGAATACTCATATTCTTTCACTTCTTTACAATATACTTTTTAATCCCACTACCCCTACTTATCTAAAAGAACGTTTTACGTACCTTGGCGATACACATTCGAAGTTTTTGAGATCATCGGAGAGTCTGAAATTGAGCATTTGTTTGCATTCCACTTCCTTTTTAGACAAATCCTTTACAGTGCAAGCAGCTCGGTTGTGGAATGCTTTACCGATTGCAGCGAGGCGAGCTCAATCCATATCGCAATTTAAAAAACTTGTTAAAGAGCATTTCCTCTCTTTATAATTTTATATCCTATCTTAATCACACACACACATACACACACACATACACACACATACACACACATACACACACATGCACAAATACACACCATTATGTAATTTATGTATCATATTGTATATTATTTTATTTTTATATTTATTTATTTATTTTTTGAGTTGTAGTTGTATTTTTGTATTATATGTATAGTACTTTATAGAGTTATTAATTATTGTACACTTGACGACCCATATCAGACTCCTATTACTGCTCCATCCAAAGGTTGTCTGTAAGAAATCGCCTTGTGCGATAAGACCGCCCATTGTGCACTATTTTTGTTAATATTTATCCTATAATGTGATTGTGTGGTGTACAATAAAGCATATATTATTATTATGTGTGTCTTTACCATTCACGGGACCACAGGGTCCCGGTCATTTGGGAGGCGTACGAGGGGCCGAAGCCAACTGCGCAGAGGCCCTTTAGACAACTTTAATATAAATGTAATGGACACACAAACCGGCGACTATCCCTGTATGCACTATGGGAATGCACCCAAGGATAGTCCCCGGTTAGTGTAGAACTATTGTGGATAATGGAAGAAAAAAGGTAGGGCTATGGATGGGTTGCTGTGGACTAGTAAATGGGGAACTATGGATGACTATGGCACCTGCCGAAACAATGTAATTTTTACACGTAAAAATGGCAGGCGGAGACTCGCCAACTCACCGACCGGGCCCCGGGAATGGTTGCTAGATTTAGCAATAGAGGGGCAACGAGAATGTGAGTGGCTGAAGGGTTAAGAAACTACCACCGCTTTCTACTCAGATCATCTGCTCCAGCCGAAGCCTCCTGCATCCCTGGCCCACTCGCGACTTACGAATAGTTTCTTACCCTCCGAGCAGGATCACTGCTCTCGCGACTCCACTCTGGACGGCCAATGAAGGCAAGCCAGAGGTGGGAGACCTGTTCCTTGTCATCGTTCACTCCAGCCAGCCAATTAAGGCAAGCCGGAGAAGAAGGAACGGTGACTTCTCCCTGGAGCACTCGGGATGATGGTAGCCCGCGGGATCGCTAATGCCCATCACCTCGCCTCAAGGTGCCCTGCGGGAATTTTTATTATTATTATTATCATTAAACCTCCTCTTGAGACGTAGGCCTTTGTTCCCCAGTATTAGGTTTACTCCATTACCTTAGGAGTTACTTTAATTAAGAGAGGTTATTAAATACGAACATTAAACCATTGTTACCCTCATATCTATCATATCTTACCTACAACCACACAATCTGTTCCACAGATAAACGCGAAGTGACTCCGACTGGGTGCGCGGACTATGACCGCGTGTGTAGGGAGCGCGCTGTACTGACTCGACAATTACAAGAAGCCAAGATGGCGCTCGCTGACGTCAAGACCTCGTGGAGCGGACAGATTGCGTCGCTAGAGACACAGGTATGCTTTGGACAAAATATGGCAGTAATTCTTGCCTCAGACGTCTAAAAAAATGTACTACGAAAATTCTACGAAGCAAAAGTTATGAAGAAGGAACTGTTACCTCGTTATGTGTTCAATGTAAACCAGTTACTCCCCGTATTTACTACCAGTCAAAGGGTCCCACAAACTTAGATATCTAGAAAAAGCTAAATTATTTAATGCATGTCCAAATACACTATTCAAAATAATACAAAATCCCATTATATATTCTATATAACCACTTTTTATTTAGAAATCTAGACACGAGTAGTCAGTAGGTTTTAATTTTGTAGTGTTTCTTTAGCGACTATTATTTTAATAGAAGACTAAACGAAAATACATGTTACATAATAATTAATAATTAATTGTAACTTGTTCTGTTTAGCTACTAGACATTTCAAACACCTCACGTTATAGGAAAATATAATTACAGAAGAAATTTCGTTATAAGTAAGAGAAATAAGAAATTGTAATTAGGTATACGATTCGTCTTTACAAATACAGCAAAATATTTTAGGCCCCATCTTTGTATGAACAGGTGAAACATTGCACAGATGGTTTTAATCAAGAAGTTTACGAACGTCAGTACAAAAGTCCATTGTTACTTTTAGACTAAATACAATTTTACTGACACATAGACACAGAACCAGACCACGAGCGTACGGCGCGTTGCGTTCCGCGCACACCTCAAAGAGCCATCAGACCACCACAGGTAGTCAAATAGGGCTGATGCCGATACAGAGCCGCAGAGTACGTAAATGGTTACCGCATCTCCGGCTCGAAGTGTTCTTATCGAAGTCAGAACGGGGTGGTATTTAGTCAGTAAGAGTCTGACACTCCCACCCACCTTACCCAGGCGGAAGAAGTCATTCGATAATACTCCCCTCTTAAAAAAACTGACACATAATATTTCTATTCATAGAGCTCATGGTATCATAATTACTGCATTGTACATAGATGTCTATACATAAGTGCATGTATCGTGAAAGGCGTGTGCATGAAGCATGAAACATAACTGAACACCACTTAAACACATCTCAACAATAATTGCATTTAACTGTACATGGCTACACATCAAGCCATACAAAACCAGTATAAACTGACATTCGAATGTGCGAAAAGATCATACAAAATAAGACCATGATTTACTGATTTTGTATAAATTGTTGTGTCGTCATGTGTACCATCAGTTTGTTTTTATTTTCTTATACATATAACAAACGAATTACGTTGTAAATATAATTTTATCTTAATTAGGGTATTTCGTATGATGTTGTATACGGTTTACGGTTATCGTTTTCGTGGTACCGCGACTGTTTTCGTGCTTGAACCGGGTCCCGTAAGTGAGTCAACTTATGTGTTGTCATTTTCTCTGGCCGTTGATATCGTGTAAACGAAATTGAAGTATAATATTTGTACGAATTCCTTGTAATAGAGTCGTTTTTAGGGAAAGTTTAATTATTTGTTTCTTATTTTTATTTTAAAATATTATGTATGTATTTACAAGCATTTTAAGTTATTTTATTTCATAGTGTGTATATAATTATGTGATGTAATACTGTATAAGATGTATATTTATGTATCCTTAAGCTATTTATTTATTCTAAGATCGATATTCTAGTTCATTTACTTATTATTGTATTTATTTGCGAAACATTGTACTCCTTTTCACACATCACTCGACAACAGAAACTCTATTATCAGGTAGGTAGACGTTATCACTGTATAGTATCAAAAATCAATATTTTAATTCAACAATACACAGGTGTTATCTTATCTTTGCGGTAATTATCACACGAAGAATTTAAATATAGGTGGCGCGACTATCGCGGCAAGCGGGAGAGGAAGGTTCGGAGAGGAGACGAGTGGAGATTGAGAAGAAAGAGTTGCAGGATAAGTTGCAGAGCGCAGCTGCAGAGTTAGAGAAAACTAAGCAGAATTTAGCCAACAGTGAAGCTAAGGTATACTGTCCTTTTTTATTTTTACTTATATGTTACTTCTTGTCTAATTTTTGGCTATAGGATCTCCTTTGTTGTTTAATTTTTTTACTTTTTGGAGTAGTAAAGTTGTTGTAATGTTGCCATTGATATCCATTTTTTATTGAAGCGACATCGCTTTGACACGTTAATAGGTTTTATTATCGTATCTTAAAATATTTTAAGGACTCAAATGTACCAGTCAATATAGTATGTCAATTTAGTTTTTAGTTATCTTAAATTTAATATAATTATGGCCTTCTTATTCTTAGTAGATTACTATGGTATTCTGTTTACCTTTAATGTTCTTTGTTGTGCAAGTAGAAATATCACTTTTAATCCTTGGATTGGAAACAGTAATACTATGTGTAACATAAACATATTTATATGCATGTTAGCTATTACATTAAAACTACTAACAACTACATTTAAGTTATCTTATTCTTAATAGTTCTGGTTTAAATAGTTAATTTCTTTGTATTCGGTATTTAACTGGATTTTATGGCGAAGTCTTTAAAGTTCACCTCTCAACAATGCTCTGTTTTCGTTTCCTTATTTGGTGACATTTTTGGTTAAACTAAAATCCCTAATATTAGGTTTTGTACACAATTTATACAGCCCCAAGCAAGTAATTATCCTTTAAATTTCTTTACATGTAAATATTTGAAACTTTGGTACCCCAATACCCCTCCCAGGGTATATAAAAAGGTCCTAGTTAGCAAGGTAGATGCTATATCTGTCTGGGCAGGTGGTGCGGCTGAACGGCGAGGTGCACTCCCTCGCCCTGGAAGTCAAGTCCCTGCGCAGCGCCGCCGACCTCGCCGCCGTGAGTCCCAGCCTCTACACCATATAAACAATCTAGTCTTGCATATGCCTACAGTAACTAACGAGCTGAGATACCTTTGTAACTTTGAACCTTACGACCAAAGCTATAAAGTTCGCTTTTAATTGACGCTGAAATTGATTGCGATACTGCGATTATTGTGTTGTGCTAATATTAATTTAAGCTTGCCATTGTTGTGCTACTTTCTTTCCAAATGTAGCGAAAAGGAGTCTTGAATTTGAAACGAAGGAATTTGAACTTTATGCAGCTGTGTTATAGTATATTTTATCTCGACTCGTTGGTTACGATTATACACTGCGTGTTATGACGTACTACTAGTGCTGTACACAAGAGCTTAGTTCGCTTAGTAGTCTATACTGCGAAAGTGCTTATTACACAGATTATAAATGGATAAAAAATGCAATGAGAACTTCTTTATGGTCATTAGTTGGCGCCACTGTCGTTTAAGATTTTCAAGAGTGAATTAAATATTTGTTGGTGACCAATACATTTTTTTCGATTTTACTTAATTACAGTTCAGTCCAAATGGATACATTTGAAAACACATTTATTTGGTATTTTGAACTATACGTAAATATATAAATATTTTTTATTACAGTAAAAACATATAAAGTTGTCAGTCATTTTGTTTTAAAGTAATAATAAATAGTTCGTGTTAACAGTATTTCAGTATTGCGTCATCGCATGTAGATTTAGATTTAATTGTAGTCGTATTTTGATTGTATTCTGCATTTTAGATGTTTTTTCTTAAGACTTAGTCTTGGTCTCTATTTTTATATTTTGCAAGTAAAGTTATATGTTCATTCCGATATAAATGTAATAATTTCGCAGTGAACGTATAGCTTTATATTTTAAAGTTTGCACTATTGGTCAAGCTTGGCGGCTTTGTGTGGAAAGAGAAATAATTGAGATTTTTATATAATAAGGTCTGTTTTACTGTTTTCTATATATTAAATATAATGAACTAAGTTTTAATGTTGTTAAGAGTTGAAAGATTAGTGTTAATTGGTCGTATCATAGATACCTACATAAGTAATTTTGTGATACCACGACTTCATAGAAAACCGACGTGAAACAACATTTGCGTTATATTTCGTCGGATGAGTAAAGTTACCGGAGGCCCAATTACCCCACCCCCATACTCCAATCTCCCCAATCCCTGAATCCCCAACAATCCTCAAATTCCGAATCTTAAAAGGCCGGTAATGCACTTCTACGGCCTCTAGTGTTCCAGGTGTCCAAGGGCGACGCCGATTCCATACCATCAGGTAATCTGTCTGCTCGTTTCCCGGTTTATCCTATAAAAAAAGTAATCATAATAATGTTTGCAAAAACTTACCTTGATACGTAAATATGTCGGATAACTCGACCGGATAGAACATTTCTATAACTCGTATAAAAGAAGAAATTAATCATCAAACAATGAAAACAGTGGAACAAGATTATAGTGTGTTATTAAAAATATTTTCTATACGATAGGCATAATATATAAGTAAAAGAAAGACTCTGGTGATTAAAATTCAATGTTAAATTTTCATATTTTTTTATATTCTCGAAGCTATCACAGATGGAATAAGATTTTAATAACACATAGTATGTTTTATAATAACTAACTCTCGTGAGACTTGCTGAATTAACTAAAAATTACGAGTTACTCACGCAAATATAATAGAACAGACGGGAAAGTGATTCGATGATTTCCCCCCTTAAAAAAAACTCACGTTAATATATTGAAAAGCGCTACTAGCTACCAGTTTGGAGTCATAGAACTAGTACAGCTTTTCTCAGTATATTTAGGTCAGTAACTCGTAATTTTTATTTAATTCAACATATAGTATATTGAATGCTCATCTTACAGTGTATTTAGACAGTAAATTATGTACTTATAATTCCCTTTTTCTAATATTACTTACTATTTTCTACAATTTGCTAAAGAAATCATAACATTATTGGCGAAGTCGAGATTTATATATATGAAGTATATGGTAAGAATATATACGATGTATATATATAATATGTTTACTCTCTGTTTACCCCCTTGGAAAATAAACAGCGTAATGTTATGTTCTTTAAGTTCTTTTCCTTCAAAATATCTAAAAATACTGTAAGAAGCATACGCCTAAATTATGTTCCTATATTGAATAACATTTATATGATTAGATGTTAGATATTTCATATAATTATTATTTTAACATTAATAATATGGATTCTCCTTGTTGTAACTTGAATACGTTTTAATTTTATTTTTATTATAGATTTTTTTTATTGTTTTGGGCAGCTTATCTCTACACTGGTCGAAATATGTTTTGATTACCACGTTTTTCAAACTTACTAGGTATATATATTTATGGTGTTATTTTAGTATATGGAGTCTAGATTTCATAATTCTAGAATTAAGTCTGGAGTTTGGTAATAGGCTTGCTCTCTATTACACTGGAATTGAAACTATACTTGGCAGCAAAGAAACATATATATACACATATGCATCCCCATCATATAGATGGTTGGCAGGCCACAATTGTGCGCTTCTCGCGAAGCTTTCTGCCTCGCACAGCAAAACTGTGGAATGACCTGTCGTCGGCGGTACTCCCGAACCGATACGACCTTCAAGAAAAGATTCCATTTTAAAAGGTCGGCAACGCACCTGTGACTACTCGGGTGGTATTGCGGGTGTCCATGGGCGGCTCTTACCATCAGGTGATCCGTCAGCTCGTTTGCCTCCTATTCCATAAAAAAAACGGAACCACTAGCGTTTTATCTTTTTTATTGCTTGACCAATATTTTTTGATATAAATATTTTATTAATTGGTTACGTATGTAGTATAAATGGCAATTTAATGTATGGAGGAATAGTGATTATGTATATGTGTTATATTCAGAGAATAACAGATGTGATGTGATTTTGTGTACTTAAAATTATTTTTATTCTTCTCTTCTTTACATATTTTATATCTTTTTTGTTTAAGTGGTACAAAACATATTTAGATCAGTGTATGAGTAATATTTTTTATTGTCAATGGTAGCTTTCAGGTTTTATTATTTTTTGACAGAGGGTGTGAAATGGTTGTACTCTACACTTTTAAACAGAATGAACAATTGTGATTTTGAATCTGTATCTAAAAGTATGATTAAAAATATATATTATCATCATTTCAATGTATTTCTTATTCATGTTGACATCAGCCGTTCCCAGAAAGAAATGACAGCTCATGATAACATTGCAAATGTAATATTTAACAGAATTTCATTAAATTCTGTATGTAAGCTTTATGCGTAAAATACTTTAATTGATGATGAAACAAGGCTTATTTTATCAAAATTAATGTTATAAAAATTTTGAAATTTCAGTACAAATTACACCTTCATATAACTTTACTACTTAAATGGTACTCCACCATTAAAAATGAACCTTTCCACCTAAAAAACAAGAATCACAATTGTTCATCACACGAAATGTTTTAGTTAGCACCTCGCTTGGCTCACGATGCGGGTCAGTATCTGTTTTATTATCGATAACGTAGTGTTGATAAATTGATTATATATACAATCATATACATACATATATACTGTACAAAAACACGTGACGTTGTCCTTTTGTCACGACCGAAATACATCCGGCGTATTAGTCATTGCACAGGTGACGGTTTGCCTATTGTTTTAATATACCTAGGACTTATACAGGGTGTAACGAAACGTGTAACTAAAGAATTACAGATGATATAGAATCATAGTTTCTGATCGTAACGAAATACTTTTCAGGGCTTCAAATGACTTCAGTTTGAGACAATCACTTATTAAAGGCATTTGTTAGCTGATTGAGTGCTAATAAATTTGAAAATGCAGTTTTAAATTTCGATTCCTAGTATGAGTCTACGAATGTTTTGAAATATTGTTCTAAGTTTCGATGGTGTTGATAAGTGAGATTTGCCATATTATTTGTTATGAATATGATGCGATAATTATTGTAATTATACAAATTCCGTTACACTCTATATAAATTCTCGATAATAATATCTAAACATTCCAAGTACTATATACGAAGTGAATTATATACAGTACAAACGATTTAAGTGAAATTATATTTACACATTGTTATATTTTGTGACGCACGAATTTTATAAATAAATTATTTTTGGTCCAAATGTTTTCTTTTTAATTTTTGTACCCTGTTTTTGCATGGATTTTGCTTGGCTAACAGCTAGTTTGATGTATGCATGATAGTTACTAATTTTTGAGGATTGGGCGACTAATATAGTAGGAGATCCCGCCTTGAACGACCTTCACCGAGATGCTTATTTGATGAAACATATTTTATATTCAATTTAATATGTCAATAATTATATTCCGTATGGGTTGCCTAATAAATTTCAGTCCAGAACATGAATAATTAATAATTTAAAAAATATTTTTTTTTCAAATGTTTCACCGGTTTGACTATTAAACAAATTCCATTTCAATCGAAAGTATGAAGCCCATAGAATATGGAAACGTTAGGTTGCCTATTGTATTCCAGTCATAACTCTCGGGTTGCCAGGTCTAAACAGGTAAATTTATAGTAGGATTTTGCAACGGTCTGATAATTTAATCAAATTTAATTCAAAATAAAGATTATTTAATTATGAACACGGTAAAATAGGGTTGCCTGCGAAAAATCAGTCCTGAATTAGGGTTGTCGAATTTTAAAAAGTGAAATATTGCCGCGAGTGAATAGGTAAGACTGAGAGGTCCCAAGCAACCGTTCCGTGCGTTAGAAGAGGACAGAGCATAACAGCTGCTTTTTAATGCTGCTACTGCTATTTTTGTGTCATTAACAGAAGCTGCTGATATTTTCATTGAAGATAAAATAAAAATAGTTCAAGAATTTATAGCTTGTATGTACATATGGGATTAAGAATTGCACTAATGTGAATAATGCAAGATATCGCATTATTATGAAAAATTACTCTGCTAAAGAAGACAGTGAGCAGTTTCTAAAAAAATCAAAGGCTTTGACTCTAACTCCATACCTCCGTGCTGCATATCATTACCACAAAAAGTTTTACAAACTATTTAAGTAAATTCGATGTGGCTGAATGCAACAGATCCAATATGTATCAAACTTAAATCTGAGAGCTGTGGTTGGTACTTAGATGAATATTTAAAACCACGAGGATTTATTGGGGATCATGCACCTTTAAGAATAGATGATATTGTTGAAAGAAGCGAAACAGAGAGAGATGACGAAGAAGATGCAGGTGTCGAAGATCTAAGCTTTATTTCCGATGACTCAGGAGCTGAATAATAAAAAAATATATTTCTTTATAATTTTGTATAGGTAATAAACAGTGATTTTTTTTGTTTTTTTTAGAAACTGCTCACTGTCTTCTTTAGCAGAGTAATTTTTCATAATAATGCGATATCTTGCATTATTCACATTAGTGCAATTCTTAATCCTATACATACAAGCTATAAATTCTTGAACTATTTTTATTTTATCTTCAATGAAAATATCAGCAGCTTCTGTTAATGACACAAAAATAGCAGCAGCAGCATTAAAAAGCAGCTGTTATGCTCTGTCCTCTTCTAACGCACGGAACGGTTGCTTGGGACCTCTCAGTCTTACCTATTCACTCGCGGCAATATTTCACTTTTTAAAATTCGACAACCCTAATTCAGGACTGATTTTTCGCAGGCAACCCTATTTTACCGTGTTCATAATTAAATAATCTTTATTTTGAATTAAATTTGATTAAATTATCAGACCGTTGCAAAATCCTACTATAAATTTACCTGTTTAGACCTGGCAACCCGAGAGTTATGACTGGAATACAATAGGCAACCTAACGTTTCCATATTCTATGGGCTTCATACTTTCGATTGAAATGGAATTTGTTTAATAGTCAAACCGGTGAAACATTTGAAAAAAAAATATTTTTTAAATTATTAATTATTCATGTTCTGGACTGAAATTTATTAGGCAACCCATACGGAATATAATTATTGACATATTAAATTGAATATAAAATATGTTTCATCAAATAAGCATCTCGGTGAAGGTCGTTCAAGGCGGGATCTTAGACTAATAGAAATTGCATTTTAACTAACTTGCAACTAAAGAATGCATGGGGCTAAAATTGTGTGGAATAAAAACCTAATGATCATCTGGTATGGCCATTCAGTTACAAAAAGGCGTATTTGTTCAAATATTCATCGCAAAATAAGCTCTATTACAATTCAAATAAAGTGAATATTACAATACCAACACGGAAATGTTTTTACAAATACGTCAAGAGTAGCATATAACAACATTTCGCGTAATTCTAAACGGTGCAATTGTTTAGTGGAGATTTAACAATGAACTATGATATCAGGTGTTTAGGTAACAAATAGTGATTGTGTAAGATAACTGTGTCAGGTAATATCGGCATGTGATTGTTAACCTTAATATTGCGACAATTTTATATATAAAACAAAATAAGTTGTTATAGAAAATTCTTGGTCTATACGACGGTGTATAATAAAAAAAAACATTCTGGATACAACGTGGAAGTTGGAATCGATACCTAAAGTGGGTTTTTTAAACCCCTTCGAGATGTAAAGATCTTAATATTTAGTTGCGACATATTTCAATGATTTTGCACAGTACAGTGGCGTAACTATCGGCTAGTACTGTTGAAACAAACCGGTCCGATCGGCAAATGTTTATATACAGATCCTTCAGTGCTCCGTTGTTACTCGAGGCGACCGCTCGTGTGTTCTAGAATACCACTCGTTAATAATTAGACAATACATTATTTATTCAATCGAAAAACTAAATTACACAGTGGTTTTTGTGCGTGTTGGCTCAAATTGTGGCTGAATATGTGATATAGTGCTTAATTTATTAAATTAAGTGAGAGAAACCGACGCAGTAATGAATGTTAATAGTGAAACACTTTCGGTACGTAGCTTTTCGTAAATTCGGACGTGAGTCATTAAGATATTGGTCATATTGCACCTCTAATGAGGCGTGATATCTGGATAAAAAGGCAATATTTGTAAACAATCGCCAATCTATAAGTAAACAATAATCGACGTGTTTTCAAATCTTTTCTTTTTTAAAATCTAGTTCAAATGAAGAACATCCAATTCTAAATTTAAAACCCGTTTGTTTTTTAAGACCAAACTAGAAAAGAGTTTGTAAACAATGAGTTTTATAGTCTGTAAAGATATAAAATTATATTTTTCTCAAGCTTTCGAAACAGAGAGGTAATGTTTACTTAGTTATCACGCGCAGTAGTTATCTTACGGTTAGTCACACGGTAGATAATATAAACAATATGGACACCTTTATAAGCGTAAAGTAAACTAGTTTACCGGGTGAAGAGAGTAGAAAAACAGCAACGCGGAAAAAGTGTTTTAAATGTAGAATACTAATGTAGCTACTAGCTTCCTATTTAATATCTATATATTTTTTCGCAGCACTAGTAGGTATTTACAATTTACATAGATATGTTAATTTAGAAGAACAGTTATTTTCGTTTTTGCTACATACTCCGCAACGACGTCTTATTGTACGGAGCTGGGGTGTATGTGACGCATAATGAACTTCTAAGGCTTTACACACCCCTTCAGGGAATAAAACTCAGTATAATTATACATATAAGAGCAAATTACATTTGCTACAAATATAAAACGATTACAGGAAAAAACGATGGAGTTTGAAAACCGAATTGAAAGTTTGACGCAAGAGAACAGGGAGTTGTTAGAAGCATTAGAGAATGAGAGGTCGCTAGTGAAGATTTTGAGGGAGAAGGTTGATAAGTCCAATCTACTCTGCGATGAGAGTAAAGCGGAGGTCAATCACCTCAACTCCATGGTGACGGAGATGCAACACGACTTCTTGGATATACAAAGGAAGTTTGATAAGTAAGTTCTTTTATCTTTATTTTGTTAAGATTAGTGTTAATTTGTTTTTAATTGGAGGAAAACTTCCAAGGGTTTTTGTGGTTCACAAAGTGATGAGTTTGCCTTTGTAAATGCATTCATGACGTAGGAGATAATTACGGAGCAAGAGACCACAAAAGGAAAAAAATATTGGTGTCCTGAATTCATCTCCATATCAAAATTCCTCAAAATCCGTTTAGTAATTTTAATGCTAAAGTATGACAAGATAATTTTGCATATTTCTGTTGTCACAGTTCTTGGCTCGAGTAACGAGGCAGTCTTTAAATATAATGACGTTCATAATCATTTGTAGTAGTTGCATCTAATATTTATTTTCGTCTGGATGTTTATCTCGGTTGCCAGTTGTGTTTAGACGTAGGAATAGCCATGCTTCGGCTCGACCTAAATCATGGCGGTGGCGGCATCACGGCCTCACAGAAAATCAGCGTGGAACAATGCTTCAGTGGGCTTATTACAAGTTTGTTTTACGTTAAACGAGATCCGGCGTTCGATGCTTTGATTGGTGGTTTTAGTGAAGCCGGCCAATCAGAGTGTCGTACGCGATCTCGTTAAATGTAAAACAAACTCGTACAAGCCCTCGGTAGTGTTTCGCCGTGTGAGTGAAGCTACTTGAGGCCCAACCTGTTTTTTTTTTAACAAAAAAAAACGGGCTAAAAAACATGGTTGCCCCACACTAGGATTTTCTCCTGTGTCGTAGGTGCGTTTACAAATATATAAATTCATGTGACACCCAGACCCGAAACAACAATCTGTGAATCACACAAAGAGTTGTTCCGTGCGGAAATCGAACCCGCGACATGTTGCGCGGCAGCCAGTTGCCCAGCCACCGCGCCATCCGTGCAGTCTCTTCTTCTGTCTCTCTTATCCCTAATTCTCAACAGAACGGCAAAGCACTTGTAACTTCTCTGATATTGGACTATAGCCGGCGCCGATTGCCTACAATCAAACCACCACTTAAAAGTGACCTTGAAATATTTAACTTTGACCTTTTTAAAAAAATGTTTTTCCTTCTACAATCTTTGTCTGTAGATACCCAATCAATCTATGAACCAATTCTGTGGACAATGTTCTTGAAATTGATCAATTTTAATTGGAGCAATGGAACTGTCACGAACAATTATTTAAAAGTGTCATTTTTACAACATGCATGATGTTCAACTATCAATAACTGCTTTTTCGTGACCTTGGAGTATAAATATATTATTGTACTCGTTTATGTATTGTTATAAAGATTTAAATCGAACTATTGAAGGTCGTACGTCATATTGTAGTTTCAGATCAAGTAGTTTTGCCGGCAATACCGTGTCTGGAGATAAAATAAATGTATTTTGATAGCAAGATTATTTTATTCTCTTGCCGTAGTCGTTTGTAGATTTATTACACGATACGTTAATTTTTGGCTATATTAATTCCGACCACCGCTAGCGTTCAAAACATATGAGAAACGTGATATTTAAATCCAATTCCAAATTATTCATAGGTTCACGTTAACTAAGCAAGACATTCAACGATTACTTTTTATCTACTGCCTCTGCCTCTGCCTCGTTGGCCGAGTGGTCGCAAGTGCGACTGCCGGGCAAGGGGTCTCGGGTTCGATTCCCGGGTCGGGCAAAGTATTACTGGGGATTTAAAAATTCTCAATAGTAGCACGGAGTCTGGAATTGTGCCCGGTATATGGCAATAAGCTCACCCCCTATTACATGGGACTCATAACATAAATAGTGAAAAGTGGGTGTTACATTGTACAGTGGCATAATGTGCACCTCTGCCTACCCCTTCGGGAACAAAAGGCGTGATGTTATGGTATGTTTGTGTTTTTATTTACATAAAAATTACATAGTTTTTTACCACCCAAATAACGCAATAATTTTATATATTTTAGAGAAAAACGCGAAAAGGACGAAGCATTATTGAGGAACGCACACATGTCACAGACGATAGAGATGAGTCAGTGCAATGTGCGCTACCAGGAAACAGAGATAGCAGACCTGAAGAGCAAGATAGCAGAATTGGAGGGACTCATCGCACAGCACAAAGAGGTACATAATATCTTTATAGGCAATCACCAGTCTATCATTATGAGTAGGTAGGGTAAGTTCGCCAGTTCGCATCCATTCATCGAATCGCAAAAAACGTAATATATTTAAAAGTTGAAAAATCAAAAAGATATATACTAAATACTACTTATATGGTGGTAGTTTTCTTATTTTCGGATTTTTTTAAAGGGCTTTCCGTAACATGATGCCAACTGGTGGGTGGACACGAACAAGCTAACTTACCCTATATAATATGTCCTTTTTTATCTTTATTAATTTAGAGTCTTTTGACACATATGTCATGTCACATAGAGACCATGCCATCCATCCCATCATACCTTAAACAGATTTAACAAAACTTACATTGGCAATATATTAGAGAAGGGCCAAATTTAAAGTACCCTTAACCGACGAGCATGCATGAAAAGATTGATGACTGTTAATGAAGCGAAAGAGGTATGTAAGAATCGTAGTAATTGGCGTTCCTTAGTCTCTGCCTACCCCCATGGGAGACAGGCGTGAAGTTATGTATGTATGTAACAAAACTTACATTAACTGAAAACTTAACTACTACTCTTATTTACTATTTTATATAAAAAGATAGCTGCTTTGGATAAAGGTTGTGACAATATACTATAAAAAACGCCAACATCTTATAAATTAATTCTAAACATATGTTTGAAAGCCTCTCATAATATGTCCTTAGTTTACTCTTTACTCGACTTTACGTCATCTTTACGTCATCAGTAATTTTATCATGATGGTCTTCGTCATATCATAATATATGTATGAAGGTCCTTCGTTTGTCATATCGTGTTATAGATGAGTATTCTTCCTCGTATATTTTCCCTTACTTCTAATTGTCCGCTTCTAAAATATGCACAATTGCTTGCTAATTTTCCTCAATAAATCTGTAGTTTAAGTAATAGACCATGAAACAGTATATTTACGAGTATTTTCTTAAATAACCAACCTTATTATAAGGTACTTGAAGCACGTATTGTGATCCTAGCACGTATTTGTTCCTTTAATATTCACAGAACTAGTTATGACTCAAAAATATTTCAAGATTTCAATCTTGAATCATTGGATTAAAGTCGACTTTTGATATTATTTAGTTTTTTAAACATTTTTCAGTGGTTTTCATATTAGGTATTCTGTTTTACAGAATCAAGCTGCATGTATGTTAATAAAAGAGACGGAAGAAGCACGAAAACAGGAGATCGAACAACTTAAGAAGAAAATAGACGAATTAATAGAAAACGAGACTGCACTCAAAAAGACTATACAAGACTTAGAAACTGAAATCTGTGATAAAAATAAGGTGAGTTCATTATTTTATTAGAGATTTATGCAGTAAATCTGTTGAAAAATGAAACGAGAGTGACGTAGAGAGATTGAGAGTGAAAGAGAGTCTATAGAATGAAAGAGTCTTGGAAAGTTGCGGGTTTCCACGTGCATAAACGCAATCACTTATCTGGAAGGTACAGTGTACCTTTAGTTTAAAAAAAAAACCAAATATTTAATTCAGTTTTCTATTCTCTCGGTCGACTAGCTGTCATCAACTATAGGCAGAACAGAATTCTTTTTTGTTCATACCACGTTATACACAGTGTCATAGTTCTTACTGTTTTTTCTGTCGAAGGACTGCAGGAAGAGATTCCTACGGGAATATGTAGTACCAAAGTACCTCCAATGAGGAGCTCCTATGTACTGTCTGTGTGTTGTGCATAAATAAATAAATAAACAGTTACATTGTGCGTGCAAGTAGAGACTTTAACAATATTTGTATGGAATATGAATAGGAGTGTGAATTCGACAAAAAAGTGCTTTAGCCTCAAATTAAAAGAAAAAATAAGAATTTGTAAATCAGTTGTGTTCTGTTTTGTTTTTTAATGTAACCTTTACTACCTAGTTCTCTTTTGTTTTGTCCAGTACTCACACCACTTTGATTTAAGCTCATAATTCTAAACGTGAATACTTGTAATTGACTCACCGATACCTAAACTTAATACTATTTTTAATTGATTTTTATTATCTAAAAATCGTGGGTTACTAACGAAAAAAGCTCTACTAGTTTCGAACTACAGAAGGGTTTTTCCTCATAATTTTTATTAGCTGTAAGTCTTCTGTAGCTGTTTGTTCTATAAATAAATTAATTAAATAAAATTTGGTTTATAGCACTGATCCGATTCAACAATTCTGTGTACGCGAAGCAAAATTCGTTCCTCCTATTAGCTTATTTATTACATGATAAAGTTATCAAAACACCTACTGTGAGATCGTTTATTGTTAAAGATAAACGTGACATAAAGTCACGCCAATTTCCGCTTTACGCCGTGGTCATAAATACGCGTCTGTTTATGAATAATGGCAATAAATGTATGAATAACTATGTAATGTACCTTATCCATTATTAATAGTCCACTGCTAGAATGTGGGCCTTCTCTATGCTTTATAAAAAGGGTTGTCATAATCTCCATACGTTTTGCAATCGGGTTAGAGATAGCTGATAGGGATCCCGAGTAAACAGTACCCTTAGTACAAGTTTAAAGTAATGGAAACTGACTCTGATTGTTTGGTTCATGGGAGGCGGCCAATCAGAGCGAACGCTGTCAGCAGTACCGTCGTGCTAAGCCCTCAGGTTGGTCATAGGTAGGCGTGCTCCATCGTCGACCACATCATTGTTACCACTAGGTGAGATAATGGCCAAACGTCATCCTATCAAGTATAAAAAAGCCGTTGAAAAAGTTCAGGTTCATCATAGATCGCTGCTGGCGTCTATCAATGTGTAGTTCTTAAGTTTGGCTCACGTGAATAGTCAAAGGTGGTGACAAATGTGTTTTAAGCTGCTGTCACATACATTAACTCTTGGATAACCCCTTAAAATAGAAATTAACGGCAAAGTGTGGGAGAGTCATGCTTCGGCACGAATAGGCCGGTTCCAACGGAGTGATACCACGGCCGCACAGAAAACCGACGTGAAACAACACTTTCGTTGTGTTTCGTCGTGTGAGTGAGGTTACCAATTAGACCCCTCCCCCTATCCACAACCTCCCCAATCCCTGAATCTCCTACAATCTTGAGGATTCCTAATCCCCCCGGTAACGCACTTGTAACCACTCTAGTGTTCCGGGTGTCCATGGCGACACCGATTGCTTACCATCAGGTGGTCGGTCTGGTCTTTTGCCGGCTTGACCCATAAAATAAAAACAAGAAACGTGTTTATGTAAATTCATGAATGAATAAATATGTATTAATCTAGATCTATTAATAAATATACTAATAAATATATCAAGTTTAGAACGTGAATAAAATAGGCACACGTCATGACGTCACTGATTAATGTACGAGGTTTATTAATTTTACCAAAACACGATTTTATATTAATGATTGTTATATACTGACGTTATAGAAAAAAATTACAATAGAATGATATTAAAAATTGGTATGTTTAAAGACTTTGATGAAAGTAAGACAAATGTACATTCTCATTTATAACATTAATAATGATTTATGTACATTTCGTACAAGAAAAACATTTGTTTCCATTTCACAGAGACCTAAATAAATCATGAATTAGATTTATTAACTTTCTCCTAAAATGACAATAATGAAACAAATATTTGATATTGTTTTCAGAAAATAAAAACGTTAGACAACAGAATATCGGATATGAAGAAGACGCTACAGAGGGAGCTACAGAGCAGTAAGTCGGATCTCACGTCGGCTGAAGAACAAGATATTAGTAGACGGTAAGATTCTTTCATTATATTAACTAAAATAAGATATAATAAGCAACCGTACAGACGGATCACGGATTGTAAGCGATCAGCGCCGCCCATGGACACCAGAAACACCAGACAAGTCACAGGTGCGTTGCCGACCTTTTCGAAAGGAATACACTCTTGGTCTTCATACATATTTTATAGTCTCTGCCTACCCCCATGGCAGATAGGCGTCAAGTTATGTATGTACGCTCTTTTCTTGAGAGTTTATAGTTGTCATTTTTTAGTTTTTTGTAATACATAATATTAAAATCTCTGTAAGCCCTCCAAAACACAAATGACATTGGGATACGTATCTTCTAATTTACTCAACAAAAAGCGTTTTGCCTCAAGCAGCTAACAGTGATGCATTATAATTTAAAACTTTGTTTTTAGTGTTATATGTAGCTACCCCTTGTTTGAAAAGATATCCTTCTAATATTATAATTGCGAAAGTTCGTTTGTTTCTTTCTTCGTTCGTTACTCCTTCACGTCAAAACGGCTGAAGGGATCGGGATGAAATTTGGAACGTCTGTAGATTTTAGTCTGGATTAACTTTTTTGGAACAATTTTGACTGCACCGTTGGCGCTGTGGCTGGGCATCTGGCTGCCGCGCAACGTGAAGCGGGTTCGATTCCCGCACGGAGCAACTCTTTGTGTGATCCAGAAACTGTTGTTCTGGGTCTCGGAGTCATGCGTATGTAAACTTGTATGTTTGTAAACGCACCCATGACACAGGAGAAAATCATGGTGTGGGGCAACGTATTTTTTTAACCGTTTTTAAAAATAATAAAAATAACACAGGTTACTTTTTATCCCACGTTAACGAAGCTAATAACTTATAAAATCGTTATTACTTTTTAATTTACCAATAATTAGCGCAATCAATAGATATTTACATGTATATTGATTCTTAATTCTTAATTCCAGGTACTTAAAACACGTGGTGCTTCGTTTCCTAACGGCGCGTGAGTTGGAAGCGAGACAGTTGACTCGCGCACTCGCCGCTCTCCTACGGCTGTCGGCTCACGAAGAGGCGCTACTCCGAGCTGCTCTCCCGCCTCGCACTGGCCTGGCAGCGTGGTTCCCCTCTCTCAACACCTGATCCGTCTAAACGGAGCATAGGAACGTATGTATGTGAGTTAGAACGCTTAAAGATGAATTCTCAAGTTGTTATAGCAAATGATGACGTCACACCTTTCCTTGTTTGTGAAAAATAAATGTACATGTCATTTATGCGGGTATGTCACCATATCTGTGTGTAGATGCATGTATAAATTAAGGAATCTAAAGAGGTGGGTTGTAAAGGAATGTTCCTACATACTCTATGGATCGAAAACGTGTGTTCGTATACCTATGTACGATGTCACAGGACAGGGGAAGTGTTGAAGTAGCATTTGAGAATTCAAGAGCCGTTTACGTTGACAAAAATACTGCAATATAATGTAGATAACTTATTGCTTTTGTATGTAAATTTGTACACATGTGAAGAATTAGTTATTTGTTACTATGATATGAAAATAGAGCACATTATGATGATTTTATAAATTGTCTTAGGTAAGAAATAGAGGGATACACCCATCAGATATGATTTATATGCAAGATCGTTTGTGTATAGTTGGTGTCATTTACTTTTTTATGTGTTTGTAGGTACTTTTTTGAGGGGGAAACTCATACAATGACTTCTCCCGCCTTGGGTTCGGCGAGTGTCAGACTCTTACTAGCTAAAAACCACCCCGTTCCTACTCCTGTTTTTCTAGCCGGAGCCCCGGCGAACCGTTAGGCTTTTTCCGCGGCTCTGTAGCGGGCATCAGCCCTACTGGACTGGGCCCCATCTGTGGTGGTCTGTTGTAGGTGTTTGACGTCAGCTTTTTTGTTGGATCTTTCCCTGAAAACACACAAAATGAATAATCGATTCCTATACAAAATCTGTGAATTCATTTAGGTTTTTGATAGAAAGTCAAATTTTTTTCTTATTTTATAATGTTGCCCCACACTAGGATCTGGTGTCGTGAGTGCGTTTACACACATACACATGATACCCAGACCCGAAACAACAATGTGTAAATCACACAAAGAATTGTCCGAGCGGGAATCGAACCCGGGACACGTTGCAAGGCAGTCTGATGCCTAACCACAGCGCCAACTGTGCAGTCAATGGACCTGATATTAAAAATCTACATCAATTTAGATTTATATTGCTTATTAACCCGTTAAAAATCATCCCCTAAATCTGTTTGAATGGATGATTTTCAACTGGTTAATTAATTTGAGCCAAGTCCTTATTACGTGGAGCAATCTACTTTCTAACCTTCACACCCTAAAAGCTTTATTCTAAAAGAAGATTAATAATACCTTCATAGACCAAGCTTTAATTTTTACGGGTGTGATATTCTATTGTTTATTGTTGTATATAATTTGTAATATGTAGCTTTTGTGACAAGAGACGCCTTTAAATCGTGAAAATCTTATCAATCATCATTTAGACATGAATTTAAATCGAAATAATAATATAATATATATTTTATGTTCACTATTTTATCAGATATCATGAAAATCGTGCTCGCATTGAAAGAATCTCTATACAAAATTATGTACCATATTATTATATTCATAGATCTTGATTATTATTTGTTAATATATCTTAATTTTTTATTAAATATGTTTTGTATTTGGCGATCATTAATAAGCAAGGTGGGCTTTAATAGAAAATAACACACTTCATTGTCAAATCCTACCGCTAGATAGCGGTAAACTCAACTTTGATAGCACATTTTTTCATAATAATATGGAACATTAATTTATTTAGTTCCTTAAAACTTGTCAAGAAAAGAGACCTAACTCTTTTCTTGCTACCAATATGACTGCAGTAAATGGTTAATTTAAACCATGATGCTTATTAATAATTCGGAAAAACAATTTGACACAAGCGCGGGAATCAAACCCGTAGCATCCAATCGATGTCCGCTTAACTGATACGTTGTAAGTAGGCTACTCATATTTAAGCATTTGATTTGCGAAAGTTTGATCAAGATCAAAATAAATATTTAAAGTCATCTGAAGAATCGTGACTACCTATATATAAATAAATATATTATTTTGACGTTTGAAGATTCTCGAACATTGATCCAACTTTCAGAGTCAGATTTTGGCATAAGAGGTACCACAATAAGCGAATAAATACCGCATTACGCGTTACTATAAATAACTAAATAAGTATTATAATATTATTGTAACATTATTGTATTTTTGAACAACCGTATTATAATATATACACACGTGAAAATTTAATTAAAGTTGCCTTAATAGCTGCTAGTCATTATTTTATTAATTGATTGTATAACTATTGTAGTTATGACAACTTTTTTATGCTTGTATTGGTGTGGGTTTTACTGTGTACATCAACTAAAATTACTTTTTTTACAAAAAAGATACGAAGAGGTAAACTTAACTATTTCGCTTTTGAGCAAAAATATCGATAAGCACAGTTTGTAGTAATCGACCATTCGAATATCTGCTTACAAAATCGGTGTAGTCGTTTAGAAGTTTAAGTGTGGGAGAGCCATGCTTCCCCCAATCTCCCCAATCCCCGAATCCCCAAAAGGTCGGTAACGCACTTGGAACACCTCTTGTGTTTTGGGCAGCGCTGATTGCTTACCATCAGGTGATCCGTCTCCTCGTTTACCTGCTTATTCCATAGAGAAGGTTAATGCCATACACACTTCGGTTTCGCCACTCATTTCTACTCAAGAATATGAGTTCCTAGCGTGGTTCGAAACTAGTCGAGTTCTTTCTTCAAACAATAACGAGAGTAAGACAATCAACATAATTATAATAATAATAATTAGTTTTTCCAAAATTTTAAAAGTTGATGTACACATTAAAGAGTTTGTGTTGTCAATTATGTTGCAATGGCGACACAAGGGAGTTATGTTGTTGATGCATCGCAATGTCGCCTCAAAAAGTTGTATTAGTATTATAGTCTGAATATTTTAGAAGAATATTAATAAATGTATGTATAGAACGTTCAAGTGATAATGTAATTACACTGCCCCTTTGTATTTTGTACAGACAATGAACCTATCATTGATGAACTAAATAAATAATGCCGTTATGTAATAGTAGAAACAGAAAATTGTTAACGTTTTTTCTTTTGTCCTGAAATAGTGAATCAACGCTAGCTCCATGACTGCAATGACTGCGAAAGTTGATATAAACTAAACATAGTAATTGTATATGCAACTTATATGACAGAAAAGCATCATATTTTTAGGTTTGACATGGACTAATTACACAATCAAAATGTCAGTCGAGACAGCACGACGTTTGGTGCTGATGTTAAAAAAATATTAAAATAAATCTTAGGAATATGTTGACACTGTCATATTTTGTATAAAGTTGTATTTAACATACATAAACAGCCTATAAGTAATCACTGCTAACCAAAGCCCTCTTCTCACACAGAGAAGTATTGAGCATTTAATCACCGCGCTTGCTCAATGGGGGTTCAAACTTATAAATAGAAATTATAAGCCCAAGTTTCCTCACGATGTTTTCCTTCACCGTTTGTCAGTGATGTCTAAAATGATCTAACATTATGATATCTACCATAAAAATGTAATATTGTTATTGTGAAGCGATATACAGCCACGTCAGAGTATTACTGGCATCCAAGTTTTTCACTTTTGTAAGAATATTGTTATGAAGAATAACATATAGTGACGGGCGGTTCAAATCAACATTTATTTGTCAACATATTGTCGTGTAAAATTAAAGTTTTAGATGAAATAGGCTATTTATTGTGTGATAGTGATTTGTATAGCATTCCTTATATTTAGATGAGGCGCACTGTCAATTTTGGCACCTGTAATGTATGTAGATAGATATGTGGTGTATGTTCTCAAAGATCTGCGGATATCGATATATTGTGTACATTATAGACCTTAGCTTCTTTAATATAGAGTTTATTATATTTTGTCGTTACAAAGAACATTATTTTTTCGCTAATTTTCACAGTATTTATTTTGTAAGATGTCCTTTTACTGTAATTTATTGTTTAGAGATTATTACTATATAGGTAGGCGACGAAAGATAAAAGATATTTTTTATTTGTTATTTTTGTTTAATTTTTATCTTATATTTATGTTGTTATTAAAATAAAGTTATGATAAGTAATTATTTTGGTGTTTTCGTTGTCCCAAAATCCCGTACCCTACGTACGATCTTTTGGTAGCAGATCATTTATCCTTTTTTTGTTTTTGTCAAGAAAAACCTAAACATATTTAAAGGTTAAATTCTAGAGTTTATAAAATATTTGTGAACGTTCCACGTGGGTATGTGTGTGTTTGAGATATATATCTGAAGGATTCGTGAGATTTTTACATTAGGTTCCTTGTAGTGTAGTGGCCGATCGTAGACCAAAACTTAGCAAATTGTTTATTGAGAAGGAAGGGAAATTTTATGTAAGTAAAGGTCGGTGAAATAAGGTAAACATAGAACTTGAACATTGAGGTCACTTAGAAATGATTGAAGCACCCAAATGTGGTCATATCACTGGGTTATTTATATGTGCGTGTGTAATTGGTTACCACGATACCAGACTTAAGATAATGGCAGATGCCCTTCGTGTTTATGTTCTACGTGTAAGTCTATAGTAACCAGGTGCCACAGTCCATGTGTCAAGAGACTGCCCGCCTGTTTTCAACGTCATTATTGTAGGCAAGTGAAAGTTAAGTACTCATCTAATGTAAAGTCTCTGGTTTGATGCTGTTACCGGTACATTTCATTTCAAGTAGGAAGGGTTATCCACACGTCTCGTCCATTTCACGCAGTTAATTTCTTTTTTACAGAGTATAAATAAAAGCTACAAAATAATTGAACCCGACCACATACCTTAAATTAAATTCTGATGTAGATAATCATTTGTTTATTTTTTTCTTAACTCGTCGAGTACCGGTTTTGTAGACACAATTATAGAACAATAGGTTGCGGTCACCGGTGACCGCTTGGTGTTTGACAGTTTAAAGATGAAGGCAATTAGAATTGATTGATGCATGACTGATCAAACCTTGGTAGATCTGTTTATATACCTAACGCCCTGCTGCTAGGAAAATGCTGAGTAGACAGACGATGTGGTTTAACAAGAGATCCTCGGTGATTTCCAACATGTATAGTTTGTATACCAACATGATGATATCATGTCGCGTGCAAAGTGTTATCTAGTGGATACGAGGTTCTTAGGTGCACTTTGGGCACACTGGTTTAGTAAATCCAAATAATATGTTCGAAAGAGTGTGTCCAATAGCGGTCGGGAACAACAGTGAGATATTCGTCACCTTCAAGGTGGAGGAAGCCAATTACTTCCACAGGGACGGGCCTCAAGTACATACTGATTGTACTAAGAAATAATGTAAGGAGTGGTATATTATTTTAGAATCCTTATTACATGCGTCAACTTTGGTGACATTGGCCACTACTAGTACAATACAATTTTTTTTCAGTACAGTTACAAAGTAAGGTGAAAAGATTATTGATACTCAATTTGATAGTACCAACTTAGTTCGTCAAATACAGATATTCTTTTCCAAATTAAATCAGGTGGCTCGGAATTTATGATTCCATAATACTGAAGCACTATTCAGGATAATGGAAGCAAAAATTCAGACGAAAAAATAAAGAAATGTAGCATCAAGAGTCAAAAGACTGGTACAGGGTGTACTATTTCGTGGATAACACATAAGTTATTGGAATTTTAAAACTATATACTTATGTATATTTTTATGTTTTTCTGATAACTCTTATAACTCTTGGAACCTTATCGATCACTTGGTGCCATTGGATCGTCGACTTCGGGGACAGCTGTAGATCGCATTGTTTTTTTTTTGTTCACCCAGTTGGACTTGTGACGTTCTAGTAATCCTATCATTACGCATTTTCGTAATGGCATAAAAAAAGCATAAAACCCAAAACTTCATTCTTTCCTAGTTTTAATTTGTACTCGATCAACGAGGTAATCAACCTGACTTAAATATTTTGAGGAAATTTATAAGCATGGTGATTCTGTATGTAGATATTTCGTCCTTTTTATGGACTACAATTTGCCTACAATCCGTGGTTAAGGTTTTGGTACGGCACGTTTTATCGGTAATACCTAATTTATTTTAAAAAGGAACGGCAGTGTGACGTCTGGTAAGGTACACAAGTACTGATTTGTAGATTGTGTACTATTTTTTATTGATTATTTTGCCTATCCTCGCATTGGCACGATCTCGACCGCCGTAAGCGCGGCCCTGTGGACGGCAAGCATGGGTGGCTCGCCGCCCGACCAGAACCAGGTGGCTTGCTCTTGAATTCAATTCCAATCGATCGATATTGGTATTGTGAAATCTCGTACTCTTAAGTTGCAACAGTAGCGCCAATTGCACCCGTATTGCGTGGATATTGAATGAACTAAATGGTATTGAGTTTGGCTTTATATTCCGTACTCTGAATGCTATTTTATCGGCTACCTACGTTAGGAGTTGTATAGTTTTGACATTGAATATTTATTGAGTATTTATTGTATTGAAATTGCATTGACATTGAGATTTGTTTTAAGCAGAGCCCAGAAGCCCAGAGCGTACGGCGCGTCGCCAAATAGCCATCAGGCCACCACGGATGGGGCCCAATAGGGTTGATACCGATTCGGAGCCGCGGAGAACCTAACGGGTTACCGGGGCAGAAGAAGACCGAAGTAGGAACGGGGTGGTTTTTAGTCAGTAAGAGTCTGACACTCCCTTTCGCCTCACCCAGGCGGGAAAAGTCAATCGATGATTTTCACCTTTAAAAAAGAATCCTCGCATTTGCAGCGTTGCTGATGAAATCTGTAGCTTCATAAAAATATTTTTTTAAAGACATCATAGTACCTAGTTAATTAGTTACTCTAAGAAACTTTTTTCTTAGATCATTCAAAAATTAACTATGGTGTACCTACCTTAACTGTTACTGTTCTTTATTGGCGGTTTGTTTAGGTTTTAACTGTGTAGAATGGATGAAATCATGTGTCATCTTACTTCATAGGATCATTTCTATAACAAGCTCTTCTCGAGACTTTCACACTGTGTGTCTTCACCAGTCATGTTGATGAGATGTGGCGCAGTGCCCTGAGCGTGTCAGTGCGAGGCGGGCAGTGGTAGGCCTATCAGCCCTCGATGATCGTTCACCACCCTGCACGGAGGAGCGTGGGGGTACTGTTGCTGTCTGAGTGGTTATTTAAACTATGTGGGCTCGTACTCAAAACTGCGATGCGACGTCACACGCAAAAATGTGCGAACTCCCTCTACGCATCGCAAGCATCGTGCATCAAAATCTTATGTTCCCAAAATCGTCTTTGTTTCTTTATCCTGTATCTACTAAGCAATAACAGAAGTGCATGCTTCTTTATCGATCCATGTAACGACCTAGTTTTCAATTTAAAATAAGTACCTACGTTTAGTACGGTTAACGGTCGTCGAAGGAATAGTCACCCTGGGAGACGCCTTGTCACACGAAATTGCATCGCAGCAATTCGGATCGTAATTTTCTGCGTTGCGAATTCGCATCACATCGGAGTTTTGTGTACGAGCCCCAAGTCTCTACCCTTCCTATTTGAAATGTCTTGTTAGGAGATTAGGTTCGGCTCCTTTCGTAGAAGTTTCTACTTAGGTACCTGTCCTGTATGTGATATTTATTCCTTCGAGGAGCAATTATTGAACTATTTACACCTATTTGCACCTTATTAACACAGTGTCAACTTTGAAATAGAATAAGGGGTGTGCGTTACCCCAACAAGAAAGTATCTCCTAGAGATATATGAGTAGAACGTATAGTTGGTGCCTTATCTGCTGTAAATGTGCCCCCACTTAAAAAATGTGTGCCCCCTGTCGTTTTGAAAAAAAAACGGAAAAATGATTCTTGCTGGGGTAACGTTTTTCTAGCAGGAAAATTCTAAACGAGTGATCGGAGAGAGAAAAAATGTGCCTGGCCAGAGAGCTTATATGTGTGCCACTATGTGCCCCCAAAAATAAAATCTGTGCCCCTTCAGATTTTCGGGATATTGCGTTTCCTGCTGGAGTAACGTTTTGATGAATCGTATATCTCTAAAACCATTGCATGTGCCCCTGTAGAATAAACATACACGAGTAGCTCTTAATGTGTGCCCCTGTGTGCTCCAATTAGATTTAAGGAAATATTTATAGTTTTCAAGTTACCGCGGTTTTATGAAAATCCGAAAAAACATCGCAGCGCCTAAATGAGACAAGGTATAAGTTCGCTGAAAACTGTATTCGGTCCTTCTTGATGCTAGTAATAACCATACAAAGTTTCAAAACGCTTCATGCATGCGTTTTTGAATAATCTTGCTACAAGTCAAGACGATGGTGTCATAACTTTGACGGCAAAATACAAGGAAATGGCTAAATCCCAGATGTGTAGGTGTAAACCAAAATCATGTGCCTTTAATCAAAAATATGTGGTGAAAATATTAAGCTTGGAATGTTTCGCATTAAGTAAATATGAACAAAAAACCAAATTAAGTAAACAACGGCTGGTTATCCGACCAAATTTGAATGACTACTAAAAAGCGACGGATTCATACATATCGATGACCTTCTTTATTGGACGTATTATACCTAAGCTGTTGTCCGTGCAGTTGCGTTCAAAAGTTTTGGGGGCTAATTAAAAAATATTTAACCATATTTAATTAAAAAATATTTATTTAAAAGTATTTAACCATGTGGATATCGTCTCCATTGTATGGGATTCGGAGGCCATGTAGCACATTGGTACACTGGTATCTCTACTGTAGGCAACTACTGCATATAAAAATAAATGCTTAGGAGTGCGATATTTTAATAAATCATTAGAAGGTGGTGGCTCAATTGGCTGAAATAAGGAGCCAGTAGCATCAACAGAAAGTATTTTCTAAGAGTACTATCTAAAAAAAAAGAACTTCTAACTCGACGGTCCACAATGGAAATTTTAGCCAAAATACTTAATGAAAAAAAACCCAACTATTTCATAAGGTACAAGTATTTGTAAATAAGTCAAAATAATGATATTAAATACTTACCACCGCAGATAGTGCACTGAAATTCACCATAACAACCACATAATTGTTATAAAATGATTAAATACGCCACTTTCAACCAACTAAAGTAAACAAACAGTATAAGTGCAACTGCGTGACTCAACATAACAGTGTCCTTGGCGTCATTACATAACTGCAACTATTTACCAATAAAAAGAAATATCTAAACGCACTTCCTAGTCAATAAACACTTTGTACCTATTATTCACTAGTAGAACATAATCCAATAACAACTTGATTTTATTATTTATTACTTTTCTACTTCAGTGTACTCAGGCACAACACGTGTGAACCGGTTAGTAAGTAAAATAAAGAAGGTTATCGATATGTATGAATCCGTCGCTTTTTAGTAGTCATTCAAATTTGGTCGGATAACCAGCCGTTGTTTACTTAATTTGGTTTTTTGTTCATATTTACTTAATGCGAAACATTCCAAGCTTAATATTTTCACCACATATTTTTGATTAAAGGCACATGATTTTGGTTTACACCTACACATCTGGGATTTAGCCATTTCCTTGTATTTTGCCGTCAAAGTTATGACACCATCGTCTTGACTTGTAGCAAGATTATTCAAAAACGCATGCATGAAGCGTTTTGAAACTTTGTATGGTTATTACTAGCATCAAGAAGGACCGAATACAGTTTTCAGCGAACTTATACCTTGTCTCATTTAGGCGCTGCGATGTTTTTTCGGATTTTCATAAAACCGCGGTAACTTGAAAACTATAAATATTTCCTTAAATCTAATTGGAGCACACAGGGGCACACATTAAGAGCTACTCGTGTATGTTTATTCTACAGGGGCACATGCAATGGTTTTAGAGATATACGATTCATCAAAACGTTACTCCAGCAGGAAACGCAATATCCCGAAAATCTGAAGGGGCACAGATTTTATTTTTGGGGGCACATAGTGGCACACATATAAGCTCTCTGGCCAGGCACATTTTTTCTCTCTCCGATCACTCGTTTAGAATTTTCCTGCTAGAAAAACGTTACCCCAGCAAGAATCATTTTTCCGTTTTTTTTTCAAAACGACAGGGGGCACACATTTTTTAAGTGGGGGCACATTTACAGCAGATAAGGCACCAACTATACGTTCTACTCATATATCTCTAGGAGATACTTTCTTGTTGGGGTAACGCACACGAATAAGGGCAGTGATAAATAAAACAAAAAATAGACATTTTAATCGTTTATTATAATTATTTACAACTTACGTAATAATTTTGTTTAGGAGTAAACTGCAAAGTTTCCCTAGTCTACACTACTGTGCAGCGATTTTCGTTTCAAGGCACAAAAATCTAAATACACTGTCCGTATTGCGACTATTTGCAGTGGAATCAACATAATATTAGGTGTGTTTCGCTAACAACAGGACTTGTAAAGTGCCTAAAAATAAAATACATTACTACGTTCACAGAACCACATTCAAGACTCCAAGCTTTCTCAAAAACCAGTCGAGTCGTCGCCAGAACTTGAAAGAGGTTTAGTAGAACGAACCTTAGGAACTCATACATAGGTACATTAATATATTTTAAGATAAATGAATAGAACACCTTAAGTGACTAGATGGTGGAATGTCAACTAATAAGCTACATACATTACCTGTTTCTCTTATCAGCGTTTGCAACTTTCATAATGAAGTGTAGATATTAATTGTAAAATGATTTGTGTAACGGAAATGGCTGGAATATAGGATTCGATTTAGATATCGGAATCGTAAGGTTATTATTATTTAGTTCCCAACAGAAACATTACCCAACAACTAGTGTCTACCCCTGGCTACGCCTAAACAATTATATCGACTTGAACGACACGACACAAGTGACGTCACCGGACGACACGACACGTCACACCTGTTCACAACGAGGATCGAACGATATTTAATTAATTATTTACTTTTATTAAAATATAAGCCCATAGTTACGCCCACATCCATTCTAGGTTACATCATATAGTAATTTAACTAGTTCTCCGCACTCCTTCGCCCGTTTACCTTAACTACCTACTAATGTTTTGAACAACAATTTACGAATTCTTTATTAAATTATTAATGTAATTTACCTAATGGGTAATGTAATAAAGCTTAAACTCGCTGGATACAAGGAAATGATGCCGGCTTAGTGCAGAGAAGTGATCTGGTCTAACTTAGTATAATGCTGCTTGAGCAGACAATTCTCTCGTTAGCCCATTTAGGGTTTTTTTCATTTTTTAATAGATAGTGTATCACAAGTGCCAGTGGGTTGCTGGCTTGAGCGGTGCCGAATGCTTGTAGAATTCACAAAACAATTTACATAGAGTCAACCATCATACGATACAGGTAGACTACGTGAACGGTAGCGTTGACTCCCAATAAAATAATAGATTTAGTCTAAGTTTTGTCTATGAGTGCCTGGCCGTGTTGCACGTAATGGTCCAGTCTGTACAGTACGTCGGTTGGTGTATAGATGGCGTGCGTGTCTACAGTTTGATCTTCCCTGTGCAGATGTCGGTGTAGAGCTGTGGTGTGATGGGCACGAAGTCTGCTCCGAGTCGGAAGTACAGCGGGTCCTTGATCACCTCCGGGTCGAAGCCTTCCTTCTGATACTGCAGTTTCTTCAACTTGAACGTGCCTGGAAATAAAGAAACATTCGTTAAGTGTTACCTGCCTATACGTAGTTATTTTCTTCCTTTGGCAGATTGAATGTGTCTATGATTATTCAAGAATGCACTGGACATTTACGTTTCTAAACTGAGCATTTTCAAATTCAGATTATGGCCAGTTAGACATTCTGATTTCTAGAGAGTAAATAAATCTACAAATAGCTACGTTATGAAACTACCTTTGATTTAAAAATTGGTCAGTTTAGAAATGTGGAAGTCCAATGGATCAAGGTAAAGACAGCATAGTAAATAATTTGTTGTGATAGAATGAACTATACTTTATTGTAGGTATCCGAGATCGTACATGGTTTACTGTCTACTTGAAATGATCTCCATTATCTAATGCATTGTGTGGGCGATAGATAAGCAACACTTATCGATCTGTGTATGGAATAAAATGCACTTATTGTTAATGTAGGTCAAACATGAAACATTCAAAGCACCTTCTACAGATAAAAAAGAAGATTGGCTGTTTTAATTGATTTGTTTAATTTTCTAAAGTAATTTTTATGAAGTTTTTAGTCCATCTGATTCTATTGTAATATAGGAAAAAACAAAATTACAATCATACAAAACTCGCACATTTATGCCATGAGGACAGGCAGAAACTACATGATTCTATTAGAATATACCCATGTCATACATAGCGTTTGCTGAAGGCCAAATGTCAGGGCGCTTCAAAATTTATCAAAATGACTGTCACAACAAGTTCCAAATCGACATCGATAATATTTTGACTACAGGCCACTAACCAGTGATCTCAATATCATTGATGATCCGTAGGAAGAGCGGGCGCGCGTAGGAGGGCAGCGAGTCGTCGAGGTCGCGCGCCAGCCGGGACAGCGGCAGCGCGCGCGCCGGGTCCGCTATACATGCCATGCCGGCGCGACCCTCCGTCTGCGGGATCTGGAATCATACAGGTTACTTATTATATTTTACTTATGATTGTTGGTCTCATTGGTTGGGGGTCACTAGAGTAAGTCCCCACAGAAATATCAAAAACTTCTTTATTATATTTATGAAGTCCCCATACGCACTAGCTGTTGACCGCGCCCCCGCGATCGGCCACATTTACAATTTAATATACAACCGCAAAACAACCGCTATCGCTTTCCTTAGTTTTTTTTACCAGGGTTGTATGTTTACGATATTAAAGGGAGGGTAGCCTATTGGCATTGCCATACATAAGCCATAACACAACAGCCAAAAACTATAAATAATAATAGCAACACTCACAGAAACACCATAAACGACGCAGGCCTTCTGTTGCAGGCTGGGTGACATGGCGTTCTCGACCTCTGCGGTGGCAACGTTCTCTCCTTTCCACTTGTAAGTGTCCCCGGTGCGGTCTCTGAAGTAGAGGTAGCCGAGCTCGTCAGCCACCAGGATATCACCGGATACGAAGGCCGCGTCGCCCTTGCAGAACACGTTGCGGACCAACTTCTTGTTGCTGTCGTCCTGGAATTGTGAAGATAAAGTGGAATGAGATAATGACAAATCCTTGTTGTTTTTTGTTTATGAATGTATTTAACTTTTGTGAAGTCTTTATTAACTCGTCGAGTACCGTCGATACAGACACAATTATAGAACAATAGGTTGCGGTCACCAGTGACCGCTTGGTGTTTGACAGTTTAATATCTCTGTTAGCGTTATATTATACCGCTAAATGTAGATACCTACCCATTTAAATTGCTTTTTATTAATTTTGATTGTATAACCCTTGTATTGTGCAAACTTTGTAAATAAACATTTCCTATTTAAAAACATTCATTTTGTTTTACATAAATCTCGTAATACCTAACTAAAACTCTATACACTATATGGTGCGACCACTTGGTTCACATCTGGCGAATGCATCTCGAGAACAGATTGCAACCGATGCCTGGACGCACCTTTATTTAGGTGGAAACTAAGTAATATTTAGGAGGCTTACCTTATCGACGTATCCGTAGTACTCCCGCGAAGCGTTGCCCTGAGCGATCAGCCCAATGAACATGCCCGGCTCATCTGTAACGAATGCGTTCTCTTTTCAAACCACGTGCGCAAGCGCTTCGTAGCGAAACCGATCTCGACGGAAATTACACAAATATTTGATTACAAGCTTCCCGTTTTAATAAAATGTGACGATAACGTTAATAGATGGGTTATGGTATCATTTTATATGGGTCAGTGTCTTTTTCATTTTAGCGACCGTAGCACTACAATATGACGTAACGCATTTTAAGCTCGGATATATATCCGAGTGAGGCAAAGAATTACCAAAACGAGTGGCTTTGAAAAACCAATCCATCCTCTACAGCCAAAGAAAACATTATATCATAGTAATCATCAAGTGAATTGATCTGTTGGAAGAATTAGGTATGAGTCCGTAGTCTATTTGCGCCTATTTCTTACGAGAGAGATTACGGCATTTGAACACGTTCTGTCTAAAGTTTACTTCTTACTTATTCCTTCGTCTCCAAAAGGACAGCCAACCGAAAGAATGGCAGTAAAATGTACAATGTATATGAAGTAAGTAGTGTAGGTAGACTCACGTGGCTTGCACCGTATGCAGTATCCGTCGTCTCCGCGCAGCAGCGTGCCGGTCTCGTCCGCCTTCACCAGCGCGATGGGGTGCAGGCTCGTCGGGACCAACTTCGGCAGGAAACCAACCGCACCCACCGTGTTGTCCACGTTTACTGAAAAAAAAAAAAACAATTATTTATTTTAGTTTCAACCAATTTCGATAAAAAGTGGAAATACGAATGAGTCTTGTTTTGGCTCATTAGATGCTGATTAAGTTTAGGAGTGGGAAATAGCTAATAACTAACGAGCCATCTACGTATATACGTATTACGTTTTTGCTACGGCTTATAAAGTTATAAATATGATGATCGGCGTAGAGGTAATTCTCTACACATTTATACCTATTGTATCTAGAGAGATAGATATGACATTCCCCCATTAAAAATCTTTTTTTTAATGAATTTTTTTTAATGAATGTCATCGAATGACTTCTCACGCCTGGGTAAGGCGGGAGGGAGTGTCAAACTCTTACTGACTAAAAACCACCCCGTTCCTACTCCTGCACTTCGAGCCGGAGCCCCGGCAACCCGTTAAGTCCTCCGCGGCATATCATACCATTCTGGAGGTTGAAAACCAAAAAACAGTCTAGATACGTGAATATTGTCAATATTTCGACTAATTGTCGTAATTCGAAAAATATGAAATGTTCTCAATTTTTTTTCATAAAACATAATATTTGCATAGTTACCTACAAGAGTATGTAAATTAGTAGACATTCAGCCTAAGACAAGACAAAGGATGTCACATCGTGAAGACTAACACACCATCTCAAATGGGACAACAATGGAATTTAACTTGCTAATTACTTGAGTACCTAATTGTCAGTTAAATATTACTAAATTTATTTCTACCTACTTACCTACTTTTTAGGTACCTAGGTCGTCTAAGATACTTGTTTACAAACTGGCTTCTGCTGGTAGCGTCGCTCGCGTTCCCGTGGCGATAAAAGCTATCTTTGGGTTATTCCAGACCATAATATAAACCTGTTTTAAATTTCAGCCCGATCCGTTCAGCCGTTTTGTCGTGTCGTGAAGGAGTAACCAACAAACATATAAATTTTCATTAAACAACATTTATACCTAATATAGGATAGTAGGATGTATCAGTGCACAAAGTTACAAAAATAAACAGTTAAACTGACTGCCTCATTGGCTGAGTGGTCGCAAGTGCGACTGCCGAACAAGGGGTCTCGGGTTCCATTCCCGGGTCGGATAAAGTATTACTTCGTTTTTAAAAATCTCAGTCATAGCACGGAGTCTGGAAATGTGCCCGGTATATGGCAATAGGCTCACCCCCTATTACATGGGACTCATGACATAAATATTGAAAAGTGGGTGCTAAGTTACATTGTACAATGGCTTTAAGTGCCGTAATGTGCACCTCCCTACCCATTCGAGGATAAAAGGCGTTATGTTAAAATGTTAAACGTAGAAGTCAAAAGTAAACCGATCTCACTGTCAAACACCAAGCGGTCACCGGTGACCGCAACCTATTGTTCTATAATTGTGTCTACCTCTATAATGACGGTACTCGACGAGTTAACTCGACGAGTACCGGTCTCTGACAAGCCGTTTTAATTAAAACCTAATTCAAGGAAGCAGGCACATTATTTTAATCATATTATTTGGTAGGCACTTAATTAGTAAACAAATTCATTCATACAACTCGATGAGCTACATTAAGCAACAGATAATATATAAAGTATACACCTACATACATTTATGTATGTAATGTTTGTATGTATTATCGAAATAGCACACGAGCGAGCAAGGGTCACGTGCTATTTAGTGATTAAACATTTAACCACTAAATGTTTATTTAGGTACTTTCCTTTCATATGGCGTTTAACTCGTTGAGTACCGTCATTGTAGACAAGTTAAAGAATAGGTTGCGGTCACCGGTGACCGCTCGGTGTTTGACAGTTCAATCACTGTAGATTTTGAACTATATTTCAATACTATCTGACCCGACAGACTTCGTAACCTTTTAAACCTTCCCTGGACTTCCACGAACATTTCAAGACCAAAATCAGCTAAATCGGTTCAGCAGTTCTCAAATTTTAGCGCGACTAACGAACGGCAAATTTATTTTCATTTATATAGGTAGATTATGTCAAGGTTGAAAATGTCCAAAAAAGTACCAAAAATATTGTCATCATCATTAGCATCATCTATAGCCCGATGGCTTGTCTACTTGTAGAGTAGAAAACCAAATTATATGGAATTGACGTGAATTTTGAAATTTTTTCTACTCTTTCTATAGACAAGCGCTAAAGTGGCGTTTGGCCCAGGTCTGCTGCTGGACTATAGGCCTCGTCCTCTACTTAAGAGGGTGCGCCATAATATGCACGCTTGACGGGTTGGATGTGACTACAGATTTTGAGTGTGAGTGTCGAAAGACCCCTCCAAAGACCAATCACGGGAAGGATAATGGATTGAGTGTGGGAAAACCAAGCTTCGGCACGAACCGGTCGGCTCGACCGGAGTGTTACCACGGCCTCACAGAAAACGGACGTGAAACAATGCTTGCGTTATGTTTCATCGTGTAAGTGAAGTTATCAGAAGCCCAATTACCCCCTTCCCCATCTCCCCATTCCCCGAATCTTTAACAATCTTCAAATTCCTAATCCCTAAAAGGCCGGTATCGCATTTTAAACGCCTCTGTTGTTTCGGGTGTCCATGGGCGGCGCCGATTGTTCATTTGTCGGCTTTTCTTCTCTCATAAAAAAAGGGTAGCAGTGGCCGTTTTGCGCCACAAGAAATCGTAGTGATTAGCAATACTTATTATGTGAGTAGGTACTGTAAATATCAATATTGAAATAAAACCTCCACTTACTTATATTGGCGTTGCCCTCCGTCGCTCCGTATATCTCGTTTATCTGAGGCACTTTGAACCTGGATGGGGCAACATATTATTAATTATTTATCTATAACAACTGACATTAATGAGTCAATACTATGTTTGGGTCAACAAGGGTTTTACAATTATGTTTTCCGTAAATAAAGTAAGTACAGTACCTACAAGGCGATAAATATTGCACATCGACCTTTGGAAAGGAAAGAGGCAATCGGCCAATTCGGCCAAACCACGGCGCTTATGATTCTGAGGCGACAAAACTAGTCGAGCACTCTCCTCGAATCATAAAAACAAATAAATGATCGTAATACTGCCTCGTCGGTCATGTGGTCGCAAGTGCGATTGCCGGGCAAGGGGTTTCAGGTTCGATTGCCGGGTCGGGCAAAGTACTACTGGTTTTAAAAAAAAATCCTAGTAGTACGCACGAAGTCTGGAATTGTGCCCAATATACGGCAAAAGACCCACCCCTATTTGCCTACCTCTTTGGGGATATAAGGCGTGATGTTATAGTATTATGTCATCGTAATATCACATAAAACCTCTTTCCAAAAATCGATGTGGAATATTTATCGCCGGGTACTGACGGTACTGTAGGTAGGTTACTTAGGCGATCAATTGGGCACTGGACCTAAATATAATCTAGGCATTTCATTCGAGGTCACCACGAGTGTACTTACAACGGCGATGGTATCGATTGATGGAAATTTTAAGGTTATTAATAAACCTCATGGCGTGTTCATAGGTTACGGTCGGTAAAACGCGGAGGAAATAAAATTGTATGCCTATATTGGTTTTTTAAACACGATATGTCTATTTACCTGCTAAATAGGTAATCGTAAATCATTGCTGTTCTCATATCATACAAAAAGATGCAATAATAAAGAGAATTCACAGTTGGCGCGGTGGCTGGTCAACTGATTGCCGCGTAACGTGACATGAGTTCGATTCCTGCATTGATCGATTCTTTGTTGATCCGGGCCTGGGTGTCATGTGTATGTGAAATAGTATGTTTGTAACCCACGATACAGGAAAAAATCCTCGTGTGGGGCAACGTTTTTATTAAAAAAATTATACTTTGATCTTCCGCAACGTTGTTAAAAGGAACTATTCAAGTACTTGAATAGTTTAACTTTTAACAATGACAGAACTCTGGCAATTAGAATGAAGCACATAATACATACAATAATGTGTTATATTTACCTGTCGACAATCTGCTGCCAGATGGCGGACCTCATCCCGTTGCCGACCATGATGCGCACGCGGTGCTGCGCGTCCGTCGGCCGCGCCGGCTGCGCCAGCAGGTAGCGACACATCTCGCCGATGTATTGAGCCACCTTTGGTAACACATACTGAGTTGTAGTACACAGAAAACCGACGTGAAGCAACGCTTGCGTTGTGTGTCGTCGTGTGAGTGAGGTTACCGGAAGCCCAATTACCCACCCTCCCCTTCCCCAATCTCCCAAATTCCTGAATCCCCAACGATCCTCAAACTCCTAATCCCCAAAAGGCTGGTAACGCACTTGTAACGCCTCTGGTGTTCCGGGTGTCCATAGGCGACGCCGATTGCTTACCATCAGGTGATCCGTCTGCTCGTTTACCGGCTTATGTAATAAAAAAAGAGTTAAATCTTACACAATTTAAAAATAATAACCATCAGCACCCATTCCTTAACTCCTAAATCTCCAAAAGACGGGTTATGCACTTGTAATTCTCGTGGTGTTTCAAGTGTGTGCGCTAATCACTTACCATCAGGCGATCTGTCTGCTCGTTTGCCACCCTATTCCATAAAAATCACATCGTAGTACGACAACTGCGACTAATGTGAAAGTGTTGCCTTGCAATAGATAATAAGATTTATATTAATACTCTTAATATTTTTAGGACACTTGGCTTTATGAGAAGGACCAAGTTAGTGCTTTCAGCACTCCTCATAATTCTCCTCAGCATCTCACAGATTCGAAGAGAAGAATCGTATAGGTCAATAGTTTGGTTATCAATTACTTTAGCAAGCATCAGGAACAAGATCCTTGAGATTAAGAGACTAAAAAGAAACATCATAGAGCGCCATATACATCTCTGATACTCGTTGTCATACTAACTCACCGTGCAGTCATACTTGATGCAATCAGTCCAGTAGTTGGACGCAGAGAACTTGGTGCGCAGTACTGAAGGGATGCCGTCCACGAGGGCAGCCCCCGTGCCCACCAGCCCGCCCGCCATGTGGTACAGAGGCAGCGGGTTGTACATGCGGTCCGACTTCTTCAGACCCAACATGTGCACCGTCGCCACTACCACCAGGAGATACCTGGTGAGTGTATTCGCGGTTAGTTATCACCATAACACCCAGTTATGGTTAGGACCATAACACCCAGCTATGGTTAGGTTGTACAGACTAAAGAACTGCAGTTTTAGGTTATTAAATTATTCAAATTTAAAGACCAAATTCCTACCGCAATTCCTTAACTGGTCCTTTACCAAAAACACGGAAAGAATATTCAAACTTTTGGAATCGTTTCTGGTAATAGTGAATTTATTGAGAGAAATTAAAGCTAGAATTTCTTAAGATCAGTCCCAACTGTGAACTCATCCTTGACCGTTTCTTCTTTCTGTCGGCTTTACAGTCTTTAAAACTGTTCAGTTCTGCCATATATTTAGCTGAACGTGTAAGGACCTCTTAGAGAGCATACTGAGTCAACTAATATTTTTACCCTTAACTTACTTAGAATTGGGCAGTATAGCAGACTTGGGCATGCCGGTGGTGCCAGAAGTGTAGATGTAGAGCAGCGTATCCTTGTACCGTGGCTTGTCAGTCACGATGGGATAATCCGGTGGATGCCTCTCCATCTCCGCAGCCAGGTCCAGCACTCCAGGGGAACACTCTCCGTACAGCTGGAATAGCTTCAAGCTTTCCGGCAGCTGATCGCGGACTTCAGATATTGCTGGTGGAGGAAAACGGTAAATTAGTAATGAAAAAATGTAACGCAAGATTTATTTATTACGCAAGAAACGACTTTCAACTACGCGTTTCTTTGAAATCCCACCCATTTTTTTACCGACTACCTGCTTAATACTCTTGCATGAAATTAGGATAATGCATGTGTACAGTGATTATTATTAGATGATGACGAACAAAAAATACGATCACGGTTACGCCAACAGCAAAGTCATTATTTTAAAAAAAAAGACAGAACTCAATGGAATTTAACTTTGTAATGCAGGTAAGTGAGTAAGAGGCCTAGAGGCGGGCTAAATATGTTATGAGTCCTCAGGTGCTAAACTAAAATGTGCCCTTTTCCTACACCTAGGCAGCCTAGCTTATAGACTTACCCGTAACAGATACCTAAGTAAGTAACGAGTTTTGAGTTAGATGTGAGTGACATAAGGTATTTTGAAAAGCAATTTTGTTGTGACAATATTTTCATGACTTTTCATAGGTAAATCAAAGATTATCAGATTATTTATTATTAACAAAATCTGCTTTACTATAGCACAGAGTCTAGCATCCAGTGTAAAATTGGACAGAAAACATTTAAAGTTCACTATGGCAATATATTGACATTTATTTATTTATGCATTACAATGATTCGTTTTCCTTATTTAAATGCCAGACTGATGTTTTTTGACATGGACCAAGGTTCCGAAGCTGTTGTTTAAATAATTTCCTAGTCATTCTGTTTTTATGGTGTGTCTAATTACGGCCCCTCGTTTTGTTGACTGTAGTAGCTAGCCCCTTGATTGTTACTTCGCGGTTGATGAAGAACAGTTTTTTTTAGTTTTATTGTAAGGTGAGCTTATATCATCTGTTTTTCTATAAGGGTATAGGCAGTAGAGAACTATGAGATGCTAATACAGTTTAACTCAGGACGATATTAACCCCAGTGTAGGTATGTAACTAATGGGAGACTGTTCCGTGTAACAAGCATCGGGAATAATTCAAAGACTCTGGAATCGAGAAAATACAAATATCGACGTTTAAGACCTCACCTTCAGGGTCTTTTTCGAACATCAAGTGACATTAATAGACACGAAATAGAATAAAACATTTGGCAGATACGATTCCACACCATATTTCATTGTGGGCAAGAAAGAAGTCTGCAGCCTACACGAACGTCAATTAGGGTGGATGAGATTACCATAAACGCATTATTATCGGATTTTCTGGCACAAATTGACTGTGGGGGCTTCATGGTGGGGATCGTAATGAGATTCAGATGAACATGCGTGTTGTAACATGGTTCTATAAAAGTACTTATACTTTTCCATTGATTATTTCTGCACAATAACTAATATTGATAGGACATAAGAATCCGATACATGATACAGGATTTTTAAAAGATTATTAAGAACAAAGATCATAATGTTCAACTATGTAATTGGTACTGTTAAAAGTACCTATAGGATTTTCTGGATGCGTACTTACTCAACTTTCCTTCTTTAATTAAAACTCTATTTTTCCTATTCAGAATGACTACAGTGAAAATTTATGCATGAAATGTAAATGTGTCCAATCTTGCTCAAGACTTTAATGTATTTGGGTTCACATGGCCGAGCTAATCTAGGTTAACCTAAATAAATAATTTACGAACCGTTTGTCTTACTCTGTACGATGTGACTTTACGAGGGAAGCATTTGGTTAATGCTTCGAATAAAACTTTGCCTATGAACTTATATTCAGTGATTTTCGATGGTAACATTTCAGATAAGTTAGTGATTAAGGCTCTTCAAGATTGACCATTATTAAACCTATACTACATAGTATTAAGACACGAGACAAGATACCTATTAAGACAATGTCATTCAATATGAGACAGGAAATCTGAAGCGTAGACAGTACCACTCATGTTTTCTCTTTACCAATCAAAATATAAAAATGTGTAAAAAATAAACATTCTTACCGTCAGCAAGCTGGTCGGAGAAAACGATAGCCTTTGCCTTGGCGACCTGGATGCAGTGCAGCAGCGGCTTGTGGCGCAGGTTGCTGTTGATGAGGGCAGACACAGCGCCCAGCTTGGCCATGCCCAGCCAAGTCCAGACATACTCCCCACAGTTGGGCATGAACACGCACACCACGTCTCCACGCTTCAGGCCCATGTGCTCTTGCATCACTCGCGCTACCTTGTTAGAGTTAGCAGCCATCTGTTGGATGAAAACTTGTACTGTTGAATTCTGGGATGGTAAACTAAGTAGGTATATTGTACCGTTAAAATAAGGGTTTGTATTGCGACATGATAATAACACACGACGACTAATTTTCGCCTAGGTATAAGTTTCTCGGAATAGAAACCTACTTTAATGCTATTCAGTGTTTACGTCACAATACCTAAATCTCCTCTTTGTTCCATTATTCTAAATGTAGACTAACTAAGCTGACTATCGTCGAGCCAAAAGAGAATTACAGAAAGATCTTTGAAAAATAATGCAGTGTAGCTGCATTTTAAATACTTTAATCAATTAATTAATAAATCGATGCCAATGCTGACCTCTCCGAAGGTCCAGTCGCGGTCACCGACGACAAAGAAGCATGGAGCGTCCGGGTTCTTGAGGGCACGCCGTGTGAACAGCTCCGCCACCGTCGCATCCTGACGGCCCCATCTCTTCGACCTGATCATACCATTGGCGTAACGCCATAAGAATCTGTGGACAAAATAATATCTTATTAGTTTAAATAATTACCTAAGTATTATGAAGTCTTGTTAATTCGAAGACATCAAGCTCAAATGCGCAAATTAAGGTTTCTGGTAGTTGAAGCGATGCTAATTGTCACCATTTGCGTATGTTACAAATACATACGTACTTAAGCAGATCGCCACGGAATGTAATAAAAATAAGGTGATACTATTGCTAATTTGAATAATGTACGAGCACTGCGATTAATGCTATAATTAGCTATCGAACCGTACTAACTACATACAAATCAATCTAGACTTTAATGACCGCAGATGTTGTATTTCACGGCTACTACAGTTGGATATCGATTATTTCTGTCCTTTAGTTTCCACCCATGGAGCTCATTCCCTTATAAAATATTCAAACGAGAAATATATCGATTGGAAAATGTGCACGTGGCGCGACGATAAAACAACACTGCAATGAAATAAAACGAGTGACGTGTGAGTCGACGGGAACATTACCTATATAAAACTATTGTAGTATATTATTATTATGGTAATAACCCATAATATTGAACTTTGGAGTGAATAGATTTGTTTGATGTTAGTTCATGAAGTTTTTATAAACATTTGTAGGAAATAGTAAACCCTTCGTGGCAGAGTACGAGATGGTTTGGGACCGCGTTCGGAATAGGTACCAATTACCACCTATATTTTGAAACGTCTAGTTAAACCTAGGTACTAGACTACTAGTACTAGTTACTGGATCTAAATACACCTATAATGTACGAATACACGTTCTTATTGATATAATAGTAATAAGAAATTCTATAATAATAGTCACAATGCCTATTAGGTTAGTCTCAGCCTGAGTGATATAAAAACTTTAGACATTCTAAATGAAACAGCTAGCACTGCATTAAAGTTAGAAAAACATAATTTACACCGGCGTCAGTATGTCTACTATCGAAATACGATAAAGTAAGGTCACCCCTAGTAGCACGGATCTAGAAACTTGAATATAGAAGAAGCCATAAAGACGAGAGCGGCTGCGGCGTTTACCCCCGTGCGACAGTCACGCGAACAGGTTGACGTGTACGTAATCCTATAATTAAATGACTACAAATACGACCTTCCCACCCAACCTTAAATCTTTTAAAAACATAACGTCATAGATAATGTCATAATAGTCTTTGTTGGGCTATCAGAGAAGCAATAAAAACTAAACGAAAACTTCTAAGACCCATCCTAGGATTTTGTTGAGTATAGTATTTAGCATCACTCATAATTTGAATAGAAACAGTATTACAACAATAAATTTGAAACCGAGTAAATAAGGAATATTTAGTAAATACCTGCTGAGGTACTGTCCATATTTTAGATCATGAAACATGATAAGTAGTAAAAAAACACAATAATAATGTCAAAATAAAAATCTAAACAAATTATGTGTTTGTTTAGTCTAACTGAATCATTTATCTCAATTTTCCTTTAAAATAATTATATGTTTATACAAAAAATCAATACAATGAGAAACATTCAAATTCAGTTACCCAATAGCAGCAGAGGTTAATGAGAAAATTTTACGACTAAATACTTGCAAGAGAATTTTAATTAAGTACCTACCTAATGTAGGTAAAGAATTATGGAAACTTTCTGAAATATTATAATACAATCACAATTTTCTTTAGACTACAAGAGACGAACTACAATTTTGTGTTAATTTCTTATATACATACATACATACATATATATGTAAATAATTTACATAAATGATAAAGGTAGCGACTTCTGTCTATCATTTACATTGCCTCGTGGTAGCGAGAGTATTCATCAAGTCGTTACTCTTTCATTATGTCTACTTCTAAGTAATATTTTTCTAATATTGTTTGTGCTGCTTAGTGCTGACAGTCACGGTATCTTCCTATTATAACTGTAAGGAAGTACCGAAGCGGTCTAGGCGCAGTAGGTTCGATGATCTTGACGTCAAATGCGATCGTGATCCGCTTATAAAGTTTTTATAACAGTTTTTCATTTTTGGAAAGTCAATTGTCAATAGGTAAGAAGCACAGAGCTTCAGAGAAGACTATGTTCATGACATAGCGCAGGCCATTTCCTGCCATAAACATTGAGTTTAGTGCTACAAATAGGTACAACCGATAAATGGATTGAGAGCATTTATGTCCAAAGTTTTATCCGCCTTTATTCCCAACATATCGGTATGATTTCCAATCCGTTATTTACATACGTCTATTATAAAATCTAAAAGTATTTAGATACGCATTGGCACATTAGCAACAATTTGCAAATTAGAACGCAAACATTACGAAAAAGACCCAAGCATATCTCTTAAAAACAACCTCTTAGTGTGTGATAAGACAAAGATACTTGTAATACCGTAAACTGAAACCAAACAAATAGCAAATGTTCCTAAAGTAGTTGTTGTTTGTACCCACAACGATTTATCTATCTACTGGGAACGTATCTAGTGTCTACACAGTTATCGAGAGTGAACAAGTAGAGCATGCCAGTATATACATAAATACGTAGGTATGTAAAATATAAATATTATATATTCTTTGATATCCGTCATCGCATTACAATGTTAAAAAGATTTTTGTTTAAGCTTAGTATTGTAAGATTAATGCCAAGATAAATGTTATAAGTAAAGTTAAAATATGATAAACAAAATATAATTATGGTAATTAAAAATGTCTAAATAGGTGGGAAGAGTACCTAAGTGACTTAGGTATACTTATAATAAATGAATTATTTGGGAAAAATACATTGTTATCTGAAGGTTAATTCTGTCTGAGTCGGATGAATGCCAAAATAAACGCTGACTGAAGATAATTTATTAAAATTTTATTATCTGAGTGAAAAATTAACATCTAATCTGTAGTGGGAGAGCCATGCTTCGGCACGAATGGGCCGGCTCGACCGGAGTGATACCACGGCCTCTCAGAAAACCGACGTGAAGCAACGCTTGAGTTGTGTTTCGTCGTGTGAGTGAGGTTACCGGAGGCCCAATTACCTTCCTCTTCCCCAATCTCCCCAATCCCTGAATCCCCAACGCTTAATCCCCAAAAAGCTGGTGACGCACTTGTAACGCCTCTGGTGTTCCAGGTGTCCATGGGCGACGCCGATTGCTTACCATCAGGTGATCCGTCTGCCCGTTTACCGGCTTATGCCATAAAAAAAAAATCTAAGTATTCTTTGTAAATAAAATTACAAAACTAGATATTTTTCTCATCAAAGTTATCGATGTATTTATTTCTACACACAAGTTTGAATAAAATGCAAACTAATTATAAAAAATATGGTTTATTTTCCACATTTCAGAGTACCTAGCTATGTAGACAGAAAGGAAAGTATTAAAGGAAATTCTAGTAAATTATGTAACAGGGAAACTACAGCATTGCGTATATTAAGCTTGGCCAACAGAGGATGCCAAAATTTCCTTAGCATTGCGCCATATTGCCTGAACTTCAATATTTAGGTAGATGAAATTTTACCCCGCCACCTGAATGTAAGGTTAATAATGGTCCAAATTACTTGATTGTTATACCAACTTAATTAAAAAGTTTACAGTTATTGGAATCAAACTAAACTTAGGTATATAACAAACAAATTTAAATTTACAACGATTATAGGTAGGTAGGTACGCGTTAAAAGATGACAATTGATTCCTTTCACACTACTATTTTCCGTAGGCACTTGAGAAAAAATTCTCTCAAAGACAATCAGATAGAATTCGATCATACATACTTCACAAAGTTAAAGTGCCTTACAAATAACACTTTATTAATATCTTATTTATAAACAATTAATTAGTCTAAATAGCAACAGACATTTATTATCTAGAAGCGCTTATACGCCTTTGTACAGTGGTACGCACATATTTGTGTAAGACAATAAAACAAAGGACACAAAGGGTGCTGATATCACAAATAAAGATATAATGACACTCCATGTATCAATCGTTGCTTCATCTTTGAAATGCAAAGATGAAGCAAACTTCAATCTACCTACTTATACTAAAAATGCTAATACAAATATAAAGCAGAATCTAGTTTATTTTAACTCGTCAATCTCCGAAACTGAAAAGAACTCAATGAATAATTATTTTGTATTGGATAGTTTATTTAGGTATCGAAAAAGGCTATATGATCAGATATGCCAGATACGATTACGAGACGAGATACGATTAGGATCAGAGCAGCGCACGAGGGAATAGTAAGTATGTTTTTAACCGACTTCAAAATAGGAGGTTCTCTGTTTGATCCGTATGTATGTATGTATGTTTGTGTGCGATTATCTCACGATTAGCTGCAACGATTTTGATGCGATTTTCAAAAGTGTTTATTTTTACACTTAGGAGAACGCTTTACAGTTACAGTACATTGATTAATCAAATTACTAAAAAGGGAGCGTTAAAGTCGGCTTTTTAAACGTATTTTATAAAAGATTTATAACTATTTCCTTTTCTGCTACGCCTAAAGTAATATAGATATTATTTTATAACAGTAAGACATAAGCGCGTCCTCGTCTGCATACTCTGCATCCTTAGGGAAACATAATTCACAAATTCTGATAGCTAACATGTACTGCTACTATACCTCTATTATTATCATAACTAAATAACAGTGTTTATAAGGCTATGAGGCATTGTTTACATTCTTGTAAATAAATATTAATAATTTACATAACTACTAACTAATAACAATGGCGTATCCAGTGTTAGCCAATGTTAGTCACGTGTCTGGCCTGTTTGCGGAGCAGTGGTAGATTATCCTGTTTATTTAGCGTATCAAATAACTTGTGGAAGTGGAACCAAACCAACAGATTGTCGGGTATGTCAACATTATTTGTGGCTAGGAAAGATACATTGGTTTTGAACACACTTTGGTGATACCTACGTAATTTCCTTATACAACCCATTACTTAATGTAAGTAATATATTTACTAGCGGCGTGTCCTGACTGCTATTTCTTGAGACTTCGTATTTTCCTTATATTATGTAAA